AAGGAAGGAGGAGGGTTGAACAGACCAAAGAAAAAGAAAGGCCCTAGAGACATCCCAAAGATACCAAATGATAACTTGATTTTTTTTGGCAATGTGCATATGTCTCAAAGTTAAATATACATCTCACACACAAGTGCCCCATGCTTCTCATAACCTAAATCTACAATTGATTTGCCAATGTCTTTTTGTTCATAACAGCAATCAGAATTACTTGAGGCCTCCTTATAACTATATTATTTCTTTTTTATTTGTTCAGCCTTAACACAGTTTAACATTTGTGGCAGATACTGGATTGGCACATTCAGCCTCTCTTCCAACCTCTTTTTCATAATTTCTCACACCACTGCCGAGGCTGGAAAGCAAACACTTTATCTTCCAGACTCCATACTCCTCGCTTCTGGATATGCTTTAGGCTCTGGCAAATAGACGCGCTAGTGGGAGACTTGACTTTGGAACGGAGTTCAGTGGGGAGAGAGGCAGCACTTGAGCTATTCATTTGCTGGGGCAGACTGTAGCATACATGATGTGGTTCTGGAACCAGCAATTGTGGCAGCAGCTGCCCAATTTAGCAGATGCATTGGCAACAAATATAAACATAAATTTCTCAAAACAGAAAATAAAAAGCAAAAACAGGCCGGGTGCAGTGGCTCACGCCACTAATCCTAGCACTCTGGGAGGTCGAGGTGGGCGGATTGCTCCAGGTCAGGAGTTCGAAACCAGCCTGAGCAAGAGCAAGACCCCGTCTCTACTATAAATAGAAAGAAATTAATTGGCCAACTAATATATATAGAAAAACTTAGCCGGGCATGGTGGCGCATGCCTGTAGTCCCAACTACTCGGGAGGCTGAGGCAGAAGAATCACTTGAGCCCAGGAGTTTGAGGTTGCTGTGAGCTAGGCTGACGCCATGGCATTCATCTAGCCTGGGCAACAAAGTGAGACTGTCACCAAAAAAAAAAAAAGCAAAAACATCTAATCAACCTATGTTCAGTGTATATGTTCAATCTTATTAGCCATGAAAGAAATGCAAATTTAAAAAAGTGTTATGGTGATTTAGTATCTTGTTGAAATGAGCAAAGGGAAAAACAGCAGGAATACAAAGTGCTGGCCACAGAGCAGTAAGATGGGCCCTGTCCCTACGGAGGAGAGATGAAGAACGGTGGATTTTCTGGGTTCTGCCAGGCTCCAGGAACGGAAGGCATGCTCAGGTTACCTTGGGTGGCAGTATTTTATGAAATAAATCCCTGGGGAGGTAGGGAAAATGGGAAACATGTAATCAGTCCTTGTGACACCTAGAATGTTCTTCAGGACCCAGCAGTTCTAGAAGTTCAACAGGTCATGCAATTACTCCAGTTGTTCCTATAGAAGCTGACATCCCTTGCTCCCTCCTGTAGTGCTCTGTCATATGGTGACTCAGGACTCTTTCTGAGGGCTGATTCCAACTGACTAAGTCAAAAAGGAATTCGCTGGCCCTCTGACTGGAAAGTCCAAAGGCTGGGCTGGCTCAGGACAGCTGGAACTGAGGGCTTCAATGGGGCTATTCTGTCCCTGTCAGCTCTGCTTTCCTTTGAATTGGCTTCAATCTAAAGCAGGATCTCTCCAGGTGGTGGAGAGGGTCACTTACCTTCTCAAATCCTGTTTCCTCATTCTAGAAAAATGGAACTATAAGCCACCTACACATGTACTGTGTGGGGAGCCAGTGAGATAGAGTATATGTAAATGCTTTCAAACCGTGGCATTTCAAAGGAATTTCTTAGTTGTCATAAGCTCAGTGGCCTGCTTTGAAACAGTCTTTCAACTTGGCACTTCTACCTTCTTCTCTGTTCTGATTATTAATAAAATCGAATAGGTGTTGTTGATCAGGCTGGTCCTGAAATTTGGCACATAGGAAAAAAAATGTCATCCTCTTTATCAAGAATGAGGGACACTATTATTATTATTTTAAAATAAAAGGTATCCATGTAACAAAAACATTTATACCTCCTTAATATTTTGAAATAAAAAAAAAAGGCTCTGTTATATATATATATTTTTTAAATGAGCTCTACGGATCCTAGGAGCCCGTGGCAGTGCCCTAGGGACAACAGTGTGTGTACGTGTTGGTGGGGGCAGGGCAGTGGGCAAGGCTGAATGGGTGGAGCTGCCCCTTTAAACAGAGCAGCCCTGCTTTTGTTTGTTTTCTACATCATGATTGTAAGATTTGACACCCAAAGGGAGAGTAGTAATATGATTAAAATAGCAACTTTGGCAGCAAAGTAGAAGAAATGAGCCAATGGCAGATATGAATTGACTAATGAAGGGGGAACTGAATGAATCAGAGCAAAATTGAACACCACTTGATAATATTTGGAATCCAATGTGAAAATAAAATTGATCAGTAATAGTCCAAAGTGGTACATGTTTCAATGGCTTACGCCTGAGTAGGACCTCCCCCATTCTCAGGCTCACGTCTGGGACTAAGGATGCCAAGGAGATGTGGCAATGGATGGGTTCACCTGACCCTCCTACGCTGCACGGTACATAATGCTATTCATGCTTAGCCATCCCATCTCGTTCTGGGCAATGACATGTGAGTGTTAGTGGTGTGTGTCACTCAGCACTGAGGTGGTAAAAAGCTGATGTGTAACTGCCTGCACTCTCTCTTTCCTGGCACTGTGATGGAGAAGGCCAACGGCTTCAGAAGGTCAGCCAGAGATGGCAAGCCCCTGTCTTCTGTGGGCCCTGCCTAACCATGAGTGAAAAATAAAGATTTGTGTTCTTAAACCATTGGTATTCTGGGGTTACTTTGTTACAGCTGCATAGCCTAATACCCGAGGAAAGGAAATTTGGGGACCCCAGGAAGTATTTTCAGGCTGGGAAATTAACAGGGGCTGACTGGAGAAAGGAAGCTAGAAGCACTGAGCGAAATGGGCCTGGGGTGAAGAGGAGGAGGGAGTGAATAACAGCTCACTGATGGAATAGTACGATTTAGGGGGAAAAACATGGATTTTGGTGTCAAATAGACCTATCTAGGGACAAAATAGGTTTCATTATTTATTTTCTCTTTGACTTTGAGCAAATTGCCAACCTGTCTCATTTTTCTCGTCCATAAAGCATAATTCGTACATTATAGGATTGCTGAAAAAATTATATTATACACACACGCATATGGCTAGCATTTAGCACGGTACCTAACAGTTGGTAGGAAATCAAGAAACCTAGGTACTCTTTCTCTCTCTGTTCCATTCTAACCATTTCTAAGCTTGATAGTTTGCCATTTTGATCTCACAGACTCTACAACTAGGAATCCTTAAAGTCCTTATTCCAGGGTTTGCATCCTCTCAAAGGCTTCTAGGGTTTTGAAACTAGAAGGGAATACTGTCAAATTCTCTGGTGTATCACTGCCTGTAATGCACTTGAACTCTGAATCATGTGGCCAGTGCTACTGAGGCTAAAGTCTGGGCCAGGGTGAGCTTGGGGAGGACCAGTGTGGAGGGTGGCCTGGTCTCAGCTCTCTCCTGGCAAACAGCTCAGTTCTGTCCCGGTTCCTGCAGAAGAGGCACTGCCCTGTCCCTGCCTCCTCAACAGTCTTCTGTATCAGCTTCCAGTCTGTTTGGTGCATTTGTCCTTGCCTTTCTGACCTTCAGGAAACACACACACACACACACACACACACACACACACACACTAGAAATTAAAGAAACCCATCACATCCAAAATTATAAATAAGAAAGCAAAGAAACTATGCATTTAATAGACAAGAAGTTCTAATCTTGAATAAACTGAGAGGACTCAGAGATGCCTGGAGGTCTTGGAGGCGATAGCTGTAATATCTAGTGATACCTCCTGCCATATTCTGAACATGCAGAAATTCCCAGATCCCAAAGTTCCCATTTCTTATTAAATTTTAGTGAAAAAGCTTTCCTTGATCCCACCCTGGTTGAGTCTGGGAACAGGGTGTTAACTTTTATATTACAAAATGTTCTTGACTGGAGAGAATATGCAGAAATAAATGTTATATATTTCAGAAGGGGGCATAAGATTGAAAAAAAAAATGCTGAGAAATACTGCTCCAGTGTCTTGCAATCACGTTCTCAAAGGGAAGAAAGCTAATGAGGAAGTGGGAGGAAATGGCCCGAGAACGGCATGAAAAGGGTCCTACTTCCACAGGTACCACGGTCCACTCACCAACGTGCAGCATTCGGTTAGATTTAATGTGTTTTCTTGGCTTGTTACCTCCTTCACCCTTAACTGTTTAAAAATGAGCTTTTTGGACATCTCATCCAAGCTTAAATGTTCTTATGGGCGCAAAGAATTGGTCACTTGCTTTGAAAAATCAGGGAAACGTCTTAATGTTGGAAGCAGCCAATCCTTGGGGTACAGTGTCCCTTGTAATGGCAGGGAAGTTATGGGGCCATCGGTGATCCGCCCTCCTCCTCTGCAGCACCTGCTACTGCAGTCACCCTCCACTGAAACGCTCAGCATTTTGTCACAACAGAGTACTTCCGTGGTTCCTGTTTCTTCCTGAGGCGGGCCAAGCGCTCTCAGCCCATTTGCGGGAGCGAGATGACGGACACCCTCTGCCTCCAATGGGCGTCGAGCCCGTCCATGCTTGGCGGACTGGCGAGCGGCTGCCGGCGTCGGTCCCCCGCTGGAGCACCAGCTCTGTCCTGGGTGCCCCGAGTCCCCGCAACGCTAATGTCTAACCAGTGAAAAAACACACCTCAAAAGACACACACAGAGAAAAGATCTCCGTTTATTAAGGGGTGCTCCTCCCCGCCCGGTCCCCTGCATCGCAGCCCCCCAGATTCCCAGGCCCACGGCTCCCATTTACGAATCGAGACCCCGAGTTGGGAGCGGCGGCCCCACTCCCCTGGTTGGCCCCACTCCCGGGTTTCCCCTTCCCCAGCTCCCGCCTCAGCCAGGGGCGCCGCCAGCGCTCGGGCCGACGCGTCCCTCCGCGACCGCCCGCCCGCAGCTCTCCGGGCTCCGCTTTCACTTTCGGTCCCGGGCTGCGAGGCAGGCGGCGGCGGCGGCGCGAGGGAGCTGGCCCGGACCCCAGGTACTGCGCGCCCTCCCGGAGAGAGGGGAACGCGGCACGGGCCCCTTCCCTGCGCCCGCCGGGGGGCCGAGGGCTTGGGGCGCGGAGAGCAGGGCGGCGGGGCACGAGGCTGGGCGAGGGGAGTCGCCGGGCCGGGCCCGAGTCCGCGGGGAGCGCGGCGGGCGCGGGGCGCACGGGCGGCGCGCTGGGTCCGCCCGCAGGAGCTGCCTCCGCGCTCCGCCTCGCCGCCGGCTTCCTGCCAGCCGCGCAGGCCACCAGCTCCCGCGTAGGGCCCAAGGGAGGGGCGGGTGGACAGCGGGTTAGGCCAAGGAGGGCACCTTGTCGTTAGCTCCCGGAGAAACGAACGTGGCTTTGGGTTAACTGCTGGGGTGGGGGTGGGGTATTGTGGCATCCGCGGGACGCAAGTGTCCTCAAGGTCAGTTCCCTCCCTGTTGCTCCTAAACTTCTTGCCAGCAACCCTGTCTCCCCACTTCGCGCTGGCTCCAGCCCGGGTTTATTCAGATAAAGCTCTCCTGTTGAGTTTTCTATCTGGGTACCTCGCCAGGTGGGCCAGCAAGTGAATTTCATGAGAAGAAGAGGAAGAGCAGACACTTCCTCACTGTTGGTGGAGTTCTTTGTGTAGGCTGGGTTCGGAAAGAAATGCTCTGTTTTCTATTAAATGTCTAAAAGTATTTGCTCTCAACTCGAGACATAGTCAACCATTAAAAATAAAAAATAATAACTTCAAAAAAATTGGGTAGAGTTATCTCTTCCCTCAGGGATTTGGAATTAAATTGATAAGCAGCGCATTTTCAGGTGGTGCTTGAGTATGTTAACGTTTTCGAATTAATTCAGCATTTTTATTATTTATCAGCAGTGACAAGCTATTATCAGTGCTTGTTAATTTCATTGTTCAGGAAGTTCTGGAAGAACATCCATTACTTCTTGATCTACGTTCTATAGTGTCCCAATAAAGGGAAAGGCTGCCTTCCATGGTGATTGTGACTTCAGTCACAGTCGCCAAAGGCAACCTGAGGAAGGTTCCTAAAATATCTTGGACCCTTCCTGGCTGTGAATTAAAGTTGGGTAGGAAAGTCTGCTGCACTTTGGCGACCTTGACTGTGAAAGGTGGTTTAGTTTGATCAGAAGCCAAAGGAAAATACTTTTTAAAACATTTAAGGAATATAGTATGGGAAAGTCCTTTAAAACCCTTGTCTCCGGCCGGGCGCGGTGGCTCACGCCTGTAATCCTAGCACTTTGGGAGACCGAGGCGGGCGGATTGCTCAAGGTCAGGAGTTCGAAACCAGCCTGAGCGAGACCCCGTCTCTACCAAAAATAGAAATAAATTAATTGACCAACTAAAAATATATACAAAAAATTAGCCAGGCATGGTGGCGCATGCCTGTAGTCCCAGCTACTCGGGAGGCTGAGGCAGTAGGATCGCTGAGCCCCGGATTTTGAGGTTGCTGTGAGCTAGGCTGACGCCACCGGCACTCACTCTAGCCTGGGCAACAAAGTGAGACTCTGTCTCAAAAAAACCACAAAAAAAACCCCTTATCTCCATGCTCTAAACCTGTGTATTCAGTGGCCTGCTTGATATATCCCTTTGGATATCTCTTGAACCCTAGGTACAGATGTTGAACCCATCCATAGTGTGTGCCCGCTCTCTTGCGTGCCCTCTCTTTCTCCCTCTCTCTCCACACCACTCCAGGACAAGCCACTAGCCTGCTTGGTCTAGACTAATTTCTAACTGGTCTCTTGGCCTTCAGTCTAACTGCTTTCCAATCTTCTACTCTCCACACAGCAACTAGGGTAATTTTCTTACAATGTGAACTGGATCCTAAGTTGACCTAGCTCAAAATCCTTCTAGTGGCTTCTCATTGCACTTAGAATGTTATCCAAAATCCTTAACATGCCTATGAGAATGTGTGGTGGTCTGACCCCTGCCCACCTCTCCAGGTATATCTTTTGCTCAAAGTTGAACTTATGTTTCAAGTTCACTGGCCTTCATAATAACCATGTGCCCTCTACTGCCTTTGAGTATGCAAAATGATTGGTATTCCCTCTGTCTGAACACTCTCCTGCTGCCTCTCTTCTTATTAACTTGTATTTTAAGTCTCAGCTAAAATGTCCTCAAAGAGCCTCTGATGTAAATTGGTCTGCTGTTATTCTCTTTCAGTGTGTGTATGTATGTTTTCCTTCATAACTGTAATCACAGCTAGTAACTATTAATATATATATTTGTGTAAACTTGTTAAAAGTCTCCACTTTCTAGCTCTTTGAGGTCTGTGTTGTCTTGTATTGCTAGTACCCAGCTAAACCCCTGGCACATAATAGGCTCTCAATAAATATTTGTGGAATGAAAATCAAAAATATTTTCACTCACTTGGTCTTTATAACAATGCATGAGAAAGGTGTTATCATTATCATCTCATTACACACGTGAGGAAAATGAAACTTGTATTAAATAACTTGCACAGTAGGTGGCAGAACAAGAACCTTGGTTTTCTTTTCTGACCGTAAGCCTAATATATATATTATTGTATAGTTATAATTTTATGTGTATATATATGTGTGTGTATATATATTTATATAAAACTACATTTGTAGAAAAAATGTCAGAGACTACTACTTGAAGTTCTTAAATAAAACAATGTGAGTCTTGATAACGTGCAAAGGGAAAATGAGGAGAGTACTATGTAGGAGGAAATCAGAAAGTAAAAGCACAAAGGAAGGAGATCTTGGTGAAGCAGAAAAAGCAGGGAGTTTATAGTCACACACACTTACATTGCATTCCAGCTAGTTATATGAACTTGACAAAGGTACATGAATGTTTCTTTGCTTCAGTTGCTTCTCTACCTCAAAACGGGGAAAATAGGCTATTAGAGTGAGAGAATGTGTAAAGTGCCCAGCTGGCTCTTTGGAGGAGCTTAGTAAATGTTAGTTCTTACTCCTTCTTGGCATGGAGTTTTACTTGACAAAGAATTGTACTTTTCTTGGAAAGGAGCTGCTTATATTCAATAGACTACTGCTTCTGAGAGCCTTTTTTTTTTTTTATTTAAACTGCATCCCTTTTAGAAAATTGTTAATAAAACTTGACTCTAGGAGACCAGTCAGAACCATGAAATGACCTGTTTCAAACTGAAACACTTACTATTAGAATCCAAGCCTGACGAGCGCTAATTTTTCTGGGGAAAAGCTAAACACACTGGAACATGATCACAGAATCTTGGATATCCTATCATTGGGGATTTAGAGATTTTTCTCAGTGAAATCCTTAATTCAGTTCACTGAGTTTTTATCAAACCCCTCTTATATGCAAGATACAGTTCTAGATGCAATACAGAGATAAAAACAGTATTGTTTCCAAGAGTTTATAACATAGTAAGAAAGATATTACAAGTGCATCATTTATAGTATTTTGATGCAGGGTGCTGTAAGATGTCATGAGAGGAACAAAAAAAGTCCCATGAATTTCAAAGGAAGAAAAAGTCCCTTGTGCCTGGAATATTCAAGGAAGGTTTCCCAGGGATGTCTCATTTGAGTTGGAACTTGAAAGATGTGAGAAAGTTGTTGAGGTGGAGGGAGTCCTTGAGCAGAGAGATGGATAGAGATGTTGAGCAAGAGATGTGGATAGAGAAAGTATTGGTCACATTTTGGGAACAATCAAAAACCCATAGCAGATCCTAGGATGCATATAGTGGGTTTGTGTTTTAAGATAAGGCTAAGGAGAGAGAGAACAATTTGTTGAAAACTATGTTTCAGAGAAATCACTCAGTCTGATGACTTAGGAGAGGAGACTGCATCTCAACCTTTCAGTATCAAACATTCAGTGAAATGTCTATGACCAGAAAGACCAGGCCAGTAAGACATAATCCCTGCCTTGGGGAGCTTATTATTTACTAAAGAGAAACAGGCATATAAAAAATTAAGTTCACTAATGTGTTACAGGTTCTAAGAATTCTGCCTAGGAGCCAATAGAAGACAAAATTTAGTTGATTTTAGTGGTTTTTGCTGATTGTAAACTTCTTTCTCATAGTTAAATCAAGTATACAAGGCAGGAAATTTTCATCTTAGGAAAGACCCAGTATTTATGGAAGTTTGCATCACTTATCCATTGAATGTGGGTGAATGAATTCCAACATTTATGCTGTCTACATTACATGTCCCATTTTGGTTTCTGACACTGTATCCTTGAGAAACAACCCCTGCATAGACCCAACCTTGCAAATCCTTTGATGCGAGGTCCCACCACCAACCCCTCAGCAGCCCGCGGGCCTTTCTGTCAGCTCAGAACCAGTTGGAATTTTTAGATCTCCTTTTTCTTGGGCTGTTGGAGAATAGTTGGGGACTTCCAGAGTCCTTGCATGCTTGAACCTGCCACCTGCATGGAACCTTCTACTATCTTGGGGTGAGGGCTGAGCCCACTAAACTGCTGCTATCAGAAATTCCAGGTGTAATCAGGATACAGTTCCTTTTACTCTCTGCTTCCCCAAACTCAGTGGAAATCCATCGTTCTGCCTGAGGAGGCAGGGGCAGGAACTCTCTACCATATTGGTATTTAAGCTTTCTTCTCCATATTGCTCTACTCCTCTGTAGTTGAAAGCATCCTTTAATTGGTTTCAAAAAAAAAAAAACGAAGAAACTGTTCTCCCTGTTCACACCTCCTTTCTGTTTCATCTGAGTGGTGCCTTTTGAACTGAGATCATGAGACTGACTGTCTTTATGGTGTATGATCCTTTCTATCTAACCTCCAGATCGACTCCACAGGGGAGAAGAGGGAGGGACCTTGATCTGTGTGTTTGAGAAGGGGGCAGGATGGAAAGTGAGGGGTGAGAAGACCATGTCAGCTATTGCCTTGGAGTAATGTCCCATCACATGTGGTTCAAGGGGTAAGGCCAGCGTCTGGCAAGGATTATGTTGGAGCTTCTCAGCCCTGGCTCCTCAGTAGAATCTCTAGGATGTTGAAAAAAATTGATGCCCTGATCTCATCACCGTAGATTCCAGGTTAATGATTGTCAGGAGGGATCCAGGCATCAAAAATTTTAAAAGCTTCCTAGATAATGTTAATAGGCAGCTACAATTGAGAATGTGACATCTAAGAGAGGGAGAATCCTCTGTACCATAATCATTTCGAGGGATGCACTTTGTACGGTTACCACTTTTCTCATCCCATCTGAGAAAAGGTAATGGTGTCCCATTACCGGCCTCTGGAGATGTAGCTTCTCTGTTCTGACACCATGAAGGAGTTGACACAGTTAAGAGAGTCAACAGTGAGGGAAGTAGACACGGCATGGTTGCAAGTGGCCACTTGAGAGACAGAGACACCATGGAACCAGGGGAGTTCGAGTGAATTAGGGCCAATTACTGAGCTCACCTGGCAGGGGTCCCTCCTGGCAAACACCTGGTAGAGAGGTGTGCTTGTGTAAGGAAAAGAAACCACTTTGCTTGAATCTTGGCAAAGTGGATTGCCAGATCCTTTAAAATTCACATTGCTTTTATGTCCCGTGGCTTTTAAAATAAAGTACAAAATATAGTCTGCAGCATAACTTCCGCATGCTTGAGCCTGATCTTGGAATTACTACTCTCATTCCCTTGCAAATAATCATTCTCCATCAAGTCCTCCTGGGTTCCCTTCTGTCCACGTTAGTTGCCTGAACAGCCTTGTACTTCCTCCCTTAGTGCTTTAGCTTTAGCGCCTGCCCCATTTGCTCTACTTGTGATGCCGTTAATGCTTTCCCCAGTTCCAAATCTAAGCTGTCCTTCCAGGCTGTGGACATCCCAAGGAGTCACTGCAGCCAGGGACACTCTCTCTCGTTGGAAATATCATTCCATTCTTCCCAGCACCTTCTTTTAGTATTATTTTCAAATGCTCCACATTTTCAGTGTTATGTTTCGTTATTTGCACATGAGTATTTTCTGTTCTTCCTGAGTTCGAGGTCCTCGAGGGTGGGGTCAGTGTCGTGTGTATTATCATATCCCACACAGTACTCAGCACACGGCCTTGTAGGACGATTCTAAGAGAGAATCCAGATGACTGATATGTTTGTCACAAACTACCAGGAAAATTAAACTCATTAAGTCATTCCTGGCTAAATAAATATTTAATTGACTTTTGGCATGACAATTTGACATGATAACACTGATGTTATTAAACATTAAACAGTGTTATTAAATAACACTGATGTTATTAAAGATTACTGTTACCAATACTTGCCTTTTTTCCCTCCTCACTACTCACAATCTAACTCTCCTCTTCCTATGCTTCCCGTGTTTTGGGAATGCTCTACCTTGTTAGGCTTGGTGGGAAGCGAGGCCTTGTTTCCCATGGCAGAAGCTAAGAAGTGCAGATCCTGGTTTTCTCCACTTTCCTGCTGGTCGCATGGATGTCACACCTCAGCTCAGGCAATAGGACTTCAAAGCTGGAACTTTGAAGCTGAAACAAGTCATGCAAAGTTGCAGGGACAGTGGAGAACTAATTCCAGTGGTGGCTGCAGCAGCGTCAGCATCTGATTTCCATGGCGGTAGACCAGCTTTCTCCGAGCTCCAGTGTTGGTGGGGAGCAGAATCTCAATGAGATGTTTCTCTGATTTGGCCCCGGCTGTCCATCTTTGCCTGTTTTATGAGCCTGGTTTCTCAAATGTCTTGCAACTCTGTGACCCATTTAGTGAGCCACTAAGGGTCCTCCAAGGGTTCCTTTTCTTCCTGTATCAGCCAGGGCTTGTTCTGTTGCTTTCAACCAAGAGCTTGGACTGATAGAGTTAATCTTTGAAAGCCAAATGATGCTTTCTAGTAGTGTTACTGATTGTTACTAACCATAAACTTTTTCTTCTAGGTAGGGGAGGTAGTTTTACTTTCAGGAAAAGACCTAGTACTCTTGGAAGTTTGTATTTATATCTATTAATGCTGGGTGGACACAGTGTAAAATTACTCTGTCTGGAGAACATCTTAATGACTTTTATTTATTTCGTTTTGCTTTTATACATCCGTGCCACTAGGTGGTTTGAGCGAGAAGATGGTGTCTCTGTCTCTCAAGTGGCCACTTGCAACCATGCCGTGTCTACTTCCCTCACTGTTGACTCTCTTAACTGTGTCAACTCCTTCATGGTGTCAGAACAGAGAAGCTACATCTCCAGAGGCCGGTAATGGGACACCATTTCCTTGGAATCAAATGCGACTTCCTGAGCATGTCATCCCGGTTCATTATGATCTCATGATCCACGCAAATCTCACCACGCTGACTTTCTGGGGAACCACGGAAGTAGAAATCACAGCCAGCCAGCCCACCAGTGCCATCATCCTGCATAGTCACCACCTGCAGATATCGAAGGCCACCCTCAGGAAAGGAGCCGGAGAGAGGCCGTTGGAAGAACCACTGAGGGTCCTGGAACATCGTGCTCATGAGCAAATCGCACTCCTGGCTCCGGAGCCTCTGCGCGTTGGGCTCCCGTACACAGTTGTCATCCACTATGCTGGCAATCTTTCTGAGAATTTCCATGGATTTTATAAAAGTACCTACAGAACCGAGGGAGGGGAAGTGAGGTAATTTTTTTCTATTTTTTTAGGCTTCAAGGGCCGTACACACTAACTTTATCATTTTAGATGGATTGTCTTTTAAAATTCCCTTTGTTACCCAACTCTTTCTTCAGTTTTGCTCTTACATCTTTTTTTTATAGTATTAAAAATGGCCGATCTTTTCCGTGCTTTTTAAATCTTTCTTCATTCTACCTTAACCAATTTTCTTTCCTTTAATTCTATCAGAGTAAATACCTATTTGTTTATTTAATTCGATTTCTGAGACATAATAAACGTTTTTAATTCTCTTGGCCTGCGTTGGTTTCCTGAGGCTGTCAGAACGAAGTACCACAGACTGGGTGGCTGAAAACAGCAGAAACGTATTCTGTCATGGTTCTGGAGGCCAGAGTCTGAAGTCAAGGTGTCAGCAAGCCCAGCTGTCTCTCAGACTCTGGGTGGGATCCTTTCTTGCCTCTTCCTAGCATCTGGGGGTGGCCGTGGATCCCTGGCATCCTTGCCTTGTGGCTGCATCATGCCTGTCCCTGCCTCTTTTGTCACCTGACTGTTCTACCTGTGTTTCCCTGTGCCCAAATTTTTATCATCTTATAAAAGACAATAAAATCTTATAAAAGATGACACCAGTCATATTGGATTAGGGCCCAGCCTGATGGCCTCATCTTAACTTGATTATATCTACAAAGACCCTATTTCCAAATAAAATCTCATTGGCAAATACTGGGGGTTAGGACTTCATCATATCTTCTGGGGGTGGGGAGTTCAGTCCATAGCAGCCTATTAGAGGAAATATTTTTCTCTGAATTGAGACATCTTTGGAGATCCCTACCTGCTTTACTTTGGTTCTTTTTTCTTTCCTTCTTTCTTTTTTTAAGGAGGGAACTTATTTGGGGAGATTTTATGCTAAATTTTAAAACCAAATCAAATTTTGTTAGATTATACTAGCTTATTTTTCTAATTCTCTATTATTTTATCGAGGTAAAAAAGTCAGATGCTACCAAAAAGAATTTTTTACAAAGTAAAATTTACCCTAATCATAGCCTCCTGAAATAAATACTACTTCTATTTCAGGGGAATATCTTCCTAGCCTTCTGTCTGGGTATGCATATATGTTATTTTATGTAAATGGAATTGTTATATTTTCTTTATGATGGAGTTTTTGAAAACTTAATATATTGGAAAGATGTCTTATATAAATGACTATCACTAGGCATCATTTTAATGACTTTATAAAAATATATGCTTGCACATTAATTATTTAATCTCTCATGGTTGGAAATTAAATTCTTTCCAACTTCTTAGAATCAGTAACATTTTGATGAACATCCACGTAAATTATTTTTTAGAATAAGTGCCTAGATGTAAAATTGGTAAGTGAAAGAGTCTACAAACTTTGGATATGTCTTGTTATATTTCCTTATACCTAACCAATACCATATATTGGCAATCTTTGTAGAGCAAAGAGGCCAAAAAATGGTATCTCCCTTTAATTTACATTACTTTGATGAAGGCAGTTGAGCAGCTGGTGATATGTTTATTAATGATCTGTTTTTCTTTTCTGCATTTCTTATGTATGACCTTTGCCTGAGATTTCACTTGATTGTTGGGTATTTTCCTTCTGATTTTTCAGAGCTCACTATCTGTTAAGGCTATTAACTCTTCTTTAAATACTTTTCTATGGATTTTCCCAGTTTTTTTGCTTATCTTTTAATTTAGCTCATGATAGCTTTTGTCATGTAGAACATTTTTTTAAGAGTGAAATCCATCCATATTACAGCAACTATAGGAATTAAAAAGCCGACAGCCTCCTATTTTGGAGTCTCCGGTGCTTCTCGATCAGTTTGTAAGTCATTTGCCGTTATCTTAGGGTACTTGCATCAACACAGTTTGAACCCACTGCAGCGAGAATGGCCTTCCCCTGCTTCGATGAGCCTGCCTTCAAAGCAAGTTTCTCCATCAAGATTAGAAGGGAGCCCCGGCACCTTGCCATCTCCAACATGCCCTTGGTGAGTCTGTGTCTATGCACAGGAAAATCCTTTGGTTCTCTGTGGCTTGTGTTTCCCTAGTGACAGCTGGCATTTGGGTCACCTGTTTTGTTTTATTGCCAGGCAGACAGTTGCTACCTTTTCTTTTTTCATCTTCAACCTACGCTTTTGTTTCAAGTCACCATTATTTGTAGTTAAAGGAAAAATTGCCCTTGAAAAACGTACGACTTCGGTAAGAGTGACATTCCAGATTATCAATGTTGATAGGCGGGAAACTTTAAGGAATTCGGGCCAGGTTTAAATGATAGTGCCCTTCACAAAACACTTTCACCCTCGTTTTTCTCACATAAAAATTTAAGAGAGTTCTAAAGAGAATGCTCTGTTGAATAAGGCCACATTTCTAGTATATAGGGATTTTCTATCATTTCCACATACTCTTTACTAGTATTGACTATATAGTTTGTAACTATGGGCACAAAATTGGGCAGACAGAAAAAGAGAACAAAAGTAATCTTTCCAGAATAGCATGTAAGTAATGACAGCTAGCTTAGTTCTCTTAAAAGAAACCATTATCCCCCAGTTTCAAAGCAGATGTGGGTGGCGTTCTGATTTTTAAACGTGGTGAGACGATGACAGTGCCAGGTGAAATAAAACTATTTATCATCCTAAGATGCTGTTAGCTTAGAAAAGCATCAGCTGGGCTGTGATTCCGCACCTAGCGTATCCCACCTTCTGGGAGCACATGCTTTATTCAGAGAAGTGCACCATGGATGAGAGTCAGGGTGGAACAGGCTTTGCTCAAGAGTCCTGAAGAATGACCAGCCCCATCCCTACGCTGGCCAGGTAAGCGATATCTTAGCATGAAGGGACCCTGAGCGACCAACCCCTTGCGCGGTACTTCTTAAAACTCTATAAACCTTCAAACTCGATACACGCCTTTGAATACCTTAATGATCCCTTCCTCAAACAAGATTCTGACCTCCTTTATAGAGAATAGAGGACTATCCTCTATAAAAAAACACTCTTTGAAAATCCCTACCAGCCAAGAACTTTTGTCACCTCCCTCCCTTGTATATGAAAAGAAGCAATTATGTTATTTTCCTAATATAAATTTGAGCTACATAATATGCTTTTTTTCAAAATATCATTGTCTCCCCCAGTATTATGGTATTGCTCCCTGAGACAGGAGTGAGTCCTCTAATTTATTAGAGAATCACTGCTCTAGGAGAATGAAGGAACAGGAATGAGGTGGGGACATGAGAGAGATGGACTAAGCAGTGAGGAAATTTGTGGCTTGCAGAGGGAGAGCCAGGAGCTCTGGAGGCTGCATGAAGATGCTGTAGTCTAAATCCGTGTGTATCCAGGATGCACCTCTTGAGGACAGGAGAATCTGTAATGCAGTCTTGCTCCCTGGGCAGAAATCTAATAGGATTAGATCTAATAGATCAGAAATCTAACAGGAGTGGCCTGACTTCAGGCTGCAGATGTGGAGCTGAGGTGGAGGGCAGTGGGGTCTCAAAGAGTCTTCTTGGAGGCTGGAAAAACAAATATATACCTTTGGAACATTGACGTGTTTGGGCAGTGGGCAGAAGTCCATCACATTTAAATTTGAGTTAGTTTAATCAGGTTACTTTCCTAATAAGTAGCAGAACTTCAGGAATGGGACTTTTTGTTGGGGGCGGGCAGAGGCATTTAAAAAGAAAAGGTGATTTGGGATCCTTTAAAAGTAAACCCAGGTTGCTGGCAGAGTCAGTCTGAATGGCCAAATGGTGGCCAGCAGGCATAAATAAGAAGGAGAAGGGCATAGCAATAGAGATAGGTATAGGATTACAGGAAAAGTGCCTGCTAATGTGGTTTCCCCAGGCTAGTTCTGGCTACTTTTTTCTCCAAGATTTCATCTCAGCGCTTCTTATTGCTGAGCTATTAGCCTTTCTTCTTTAGGAGCAGACCTCTTACACTGTACCTCCATCCACCCACTCTACCCGCAAGGCTACTCCTGATTGCACTTAAAAGCTGATTCCAATGAGGCAAATCTGAGTTTGGAAGAAGTCTTGCAGGATCAGGCCTATCCCTAGATTACTTTCAACTGTGTAGAAAAACAAACACTGTTTTCAGGCAGTACACAGTTATCTGTTTTCTCAGAGTATGTACTAGACATTGCGTTTCCAGATAATTCTTGAATATTTAAGGACAAGTGGACCACATCTTGGCAAAACCAGCAGTCTTAGTTTTGCCCTTGTCCCATCCATGTTGTCAATTCATGTGTATTAAATATGAGTCAATTTGTAATGATCTGGATTATTTAAAAGAAATTGAGGGTCAGTCGTTATACAACTTTATAAATATAATAAAAACCACATAATTGCATACTTTAAAGTGGTAAATTTTATGGTATGTGAATTATCTCATTAAAAAAAATTGACATACATGAGTGTATTGACTCATGTAATTGACATATAATGAGTGAGATGTGCACCATCTGGGGGATGGTCATGCCGGAGACTCAGACTTGTGGGGGGACGGGGGGAAAGGGCATTTATTGAAACCTTAAAATCTGTACCCCCATAATATGCCGAAATAAAAAAAGAAAGAAAGAAATTGAGAATGGTTTCACCTTAATAGCTAAATTACAGCCAGATATTAGAACAAGAACTTTTAAAGTAATCATAGAAATGTTATGCCATATACTTTTAATATTAGGCCCGGTAATTAGGAAATTTCTCTTCATAATCTATGTTTAGTATATTAGGTTATTGCATTCTTTAATAATTAGAGTTATCGTGGTTTTAGGTGAAATCTGTGACTATTGCCGAAGGACTCATAGAAGACCATTTTGATGTCACCGTGAAGATGAGCACCTATTTGGTGGCCTTCATTATTTCAGATTTTCAGTCTGTCAGCAAGGTGACCAAGAGTGGAGTCAAGGTGAGCCTATGATTGTCACATAGGGTAACCAATTTGTCCTGGTTTTAAAACTAGGAGTCCTGCATCCTGGGAAGCCCCTCAAACTCAGGCAAACTGGGATGGTTGGTCACCCTGTAGTCACAGATGCCCACTTGTACAGTGACATTGTAATAGCAGCAACACAGAGGGAGCTGGGCCTGGCCTGAGTCATGATCTTGGCTCTACCACTACCTAGCTCTCTGACCTCGGCCCTGCTCCCTGTGGAACTTGCCTCTCACTTCTTTGGAAGGTGTGGGTTGGATGAGATCCTGCAATGGTTTCTAAGGTTGCTTCTGGTTATAGCTTTCTGCAGTTTGGAACTAAATGTTACTGACTGTCTGAGCAGGGGATTTTTGCCTGTGGGAAGGAAACAAGATAGAGCAACTGGCTTGGAGAAAGGAGTGGTCATTTCTAGTTTACCTTTACACTAAAGGCATGGCCTTCGGGGTCCAGCTGTCTCTTATCCCTTGAGTCCTTCAGTGCCATGGGAACCAAAGCTCAAGTCCAGCTGTGTTGGGCTAGTGCCCTTAAGGCAAAAGCAGGGTGCTGACCTCAGAGGGTCTGGCTGTCACTTCAGTTGTGGCCTCTAAGTCTTCCTTTCATTTTTGCCACCTTCTGAGCACATTTAAGAAAAAAATATTTGTGTATATTACCAACATTTTGCAGTTGTTTTCAGAAGTGGAACTGATTGGGAACAGTCAGCATTGCTACAAGAAATGGGATTCCCAATTGTCATCTTTAATATTGGTAACCATATCCCACAGTATGAAGGCCTTAATGTCAGTATCATGCAAGTCTGGAGAGAAGCTAGTAAGATATTTGAATACCTTTCTTGTGCCTTTCTCTTTAGGTTTCTGTATATGCTGTACCAGACAAGATAAATCAAGCAGATTATGCACTGGGTGCTGCGGTGACTCTCCTAGAGTTTTATGAGGATTATTTCGGGATACCATACCCCTTACCCAAACAAGGTAGAGGTTTTACCCAAATACCGTGATGTGGCATTGGATGACCCAGTCATAGGATTACAGAGCATTAGAATTGGTGTGTCCCCATGGCTATCTCAGCAGCCCCTCAAGTCATAACCCCAGCCAGTGTCAAACGTCTGGTTGATCCTTTTGAGCATTTCCTCACCTTTGATCTGTACAGTGAACTTCCAGTGACAGTAAAAGCAGATCTTGATACAGTTGCTGAGGCACAGGGCATGGGGACTATTTTGCCCTCTGATTTTATAGTGGGCAAACAGCAGAGGGAAGTGGCTGTGTTTTTTTGTTATTGGCACATGCTTGGCAAGGACATAGAGGGTACTCAATAGGATTTTTTAAAGGAATGAATTTATATGGTGTAAGAAAATCTGCATTTTTTTTCTTGTATGAGCCCTTAAAACTATTGTCTGTCTGAGTTTTTAGGTATATGTAGGTATTGGACATTTAAAATACAGTGGATTATTGAAGTAATTGTTAAGATTATTCAGTCCCAAAACTCCTCCTCATGAAGTTAGAAATGGAGTAAAGAGGCCTGAGACACATGTCTGACTTTGTAGTGATCATAGCAAAGTGACCCTGAGTCACCGAGCTCCTTTTTCTCCATTGTGAAAGGCTCCTCCAGTCTAGAGCTCCATGGTGCTGTGTGGGCAGCTTGGCTTTTCCGTCCTAACACCCATTCCTAACCATGAATGTTAGTGCATTTGGGGAAATGTGCAGCTTAGAGATTGGTAATATTATTCTATTACTTTCTTCCCAAGATCTCGCTGCTATTCCTGACTTTCAGTCTGGTGCAATGGAAAACTGGGGACTGACAACGTATAGAGAATCTGCCCTGTTGTTTGATGCAGAAAAGTCTTCTGCATCAAGTAAGCTTGGCATCACAATGATTGTGTCCCATGAACTCGCACACCAGGTACAAGCTTACTCATACTTTTTTTAAAAAGTATAGTTAAACTATATTTATGTCACTTTTATGGGACATATGAGGCTATTCACATATTATGCTTATAGTTTTTACCTTGCCGTTTTTCTCATAAGAGAAACTATTTCCTTAAAACATTAGGTTTCATGTTTTATAATGCATTTGAAAGGTTTTTATTTTTTACTTTGATAAAGTATTATTTCTATAAATATATGGTAACATTCATAAACTGACATTTGATATCTAAAATGTATTTCTGAGTGGCTTTTGTGTATGGCTGCCATCCTAGGAAGCAGGTAATCCAGTCTCCATAGCAATGTGTGAATAAACTGAGCAGTGTTTTCCTTCTAGTGGTTTGGGAACCTGGTCACTATGGAATGGTGGAATGATCTTTGGCTAAATGAGGGATTTGCCAAGTTTATGGAGTTTGTATCTGTCAGTGTGACCCATCCTGAACTGAAAGTTGTAAGTAGTTATTTACTTATTTTTACATTTTAGGTTAATCTGTTGTTTTGTTCAGTGTTGCTGGAAAATATATCTTTGATTATAGAAGTCATAGGAAGAGTTCATTGATAACCTCCTTGAGAATTTAGATATGAATTTCACAAATGCTAGTAAACTTTCAAGATACATTGCAAAGACTTATTTCCAGACTCAATTGTGAATCTATGATTGTTAGAAAATTAGGTGCTGAATTCCTTAATATCAAAGAAATAGAAATAATAGACAGAAAGAAATAGAAAGAAATAGAAATAATGACAGCCTGAATGTTCCATATAATTTCTCCAACTTGAGCAACTTCTCAGATTCTGAGCAACTTCTCAGATTGCTCATTGCAGAATTATTAGGTACAGAATGCTGTTATCTCCATAGGACCCTACTTGCCAAATCAAGTGAATTATGCATAAAGTAGCTGCACATTTAATTGTAAAGCAACATAATTCATGAGTAACAGATTTAATGCTGTGGAACTGCTATGTATTTGTTTTAAAAATCACATGTTTAACTTGAGAAAATCACATTTAACAAAATTAAAAGTAAACTTTTATAAAAAAAAATCCTTTACCTTATTATGATTCTTTTTCATTTGTGAATATTTACTACCCATTTTCATCTGCCTATATACATTATTATATACCATTATAATTGTAAAGTACATATCAATATTATACTATAAGGGAACAAAAACATTTTCTTATGTTTCTACATAATCTTTAATAATAAGTGATTATGTATGCATATTATTCTATTGAATTAATGTGCCATAGTAAAGCAGACTGAGGTTGGAATTTGTTCTCCATTTTTTTCATTACATGCTCTAAAATAGTACAGATAACAACTGGAAATGTTGAAATCACTATGCATTTTAGTTTCTTATTTTGTTGCTATTTGGCTATAGGCATAATGGTTTTATTTTTAGGTTAATGTGAAATTTTCTTTATTCTAAAGTGATAGGCATTTAAGATGAACAAAATCCATAATATTTACCTAAAATTATTGTTTTGAGATACTTTATAGAAAGCAATAATTCTATTTTATTTCATAAATATTAGACATATGGAATAGGTTGGCTCCAAAATTTGAAGTATAGACTAATTACCCAAGATCAGACTTTCCTCCTTTCATATTTTTATTTAAATGTAAATCATAGGTGATATTTTCTTTTTTCCTGTCTCAATAGGGAGATTATTTTTTGGGCAAGTGTTTTAATGCGATGGAATTAGATGCTTTAAATTCTTCACACCCTGTGTCCACACCTGTGGAAAACCCTGCTCAGATTCGGGAGATGTTTGATGATGTGTCTTATGAAAAGGTAAAAGTGGATTATAAAGGTCCGGTTTGGACACTGAAGTTGCAAATACTGGGGTGGAGAGGTTATTTATAGGTAAGGTTGAGGGCCTAAACCCAGATTGAAGGCCTTCTGTCCTGACTTGTGCTGGCTGCCAAATGAAATGAATTATGCTTAACTCTTTTAGACCTAACTTGGAGTTTTGTTCATAATCCTAAAGATTATATTCAGTTCTTCATTAACTCTTTCTTGGGTTGAAAATTTATGGCGTAGAGAAACTCTATTCATCATTCAATAAATAGGTATTTATTGAGCATCAACTTTGTGCTAGGCAAAAACTCCTGGCCTTGTGTGGCTTACCTTTCAGGGCCTTCAGAAATGGTTTATATTGTTGAACTGCAACATGCTGTCCTGCACTGTGTGTTTAATGACAGAGTTGGAAATTGTTGGTGACATTTCATAATTAGGAGATTTTATATACATATAAAAATCTAGATTTCTGGCTTCTCTTGGGGTGTGGGGGGGAATAAAAAGGAGATTTGGGCCACTGAAGAACCATGCTCGGGGCCTGTATTTCCTTTGGTAACATAAGCTGGAACTAAGTTGTGGCTCCTTCTTTATAAGATCAAAGTTCTGCTTTTCCACTTCCCCTACCATTCCCAATTATTCCTGTTGTCTTCAGCTCCCTGAGGCTGAGAGTGTGTTGCCATTTATCATTGTGCTTTGCCATTGTTTTTCTTGTCACAAACAGAAAAATATTTCTTGCTTGCATGTTTCCATCAAAAGCACAGAGGAAACATAACGTAAAAGAGCATTCTTCTTACCCTTGGACTAATTCCCTTGTTTACATCACCTGTCATATGCCACTGGAGGCATTTGCATTGGTGACTCACAATCTATGGCAATGGGAGTGGAGGGGAAAAGAACTTACCCAGAAATGGGCTTCCTTTGCTTCCATCCTTAGTCCTCTGCCCCTGTTGTGCCCACCTCTCTCCACTCCTGTCCGGGAGTGGCAGTGGGAAAGCCAGGTGCTGGTTAAAGGTCTGATGTTGAATCTGTCCCATCATCCACTCAGATGTGAACAAAGGCAGCTGGCAGATAATACTAATTTGCTCCGCAGGGAGGCCTGGCTACTGATAGAAAAGAATGGTTCTAGTGGGCATAAACAATCATGTTAGAAAGATCTCCTGCCTGCACATGTCTAGGTTTAACCTACTACTCTGTTCTACAAATTGCCAGACACTAACAATGTTACTGCAGTTGCATTTTAGAAGAACTATTGCCAAATAACATATGATGGCAGACTAGGTTGAGACCAAACCATACATAACAATCATTTCTGCTATCTTTCCAGGGAGCTTGCATTCTGAATATGCTAAGGGATTACCTTAGTGCTGATGTGTTTAAAAGTGGTATCGTACAGTATCTCCAGAAGTATAGCTATAAAAACACAAAAAACGAGGACCTGTGGAATAGCATGGCAAGTGTAAGTATGTTTTTGTGTATCTCTGTGTTTGGGATTAACAGGCTTATTATCTTGTTTTGTTTTGTTTTCCCTGCATCACATTAATCCCTCTGAGAAGAATGATGAGTGTTTTCTATGGAAACAAGAGTGATGTGCTTAGTTTTGGTTTTTAGATTTGCCCTACAGATGACACACAAGGGATGGATGGCTTTTGCCCTGGAAGTCAACATTCATCTTCATCCTCAGTAAGTCTCTATATCTGTTCCCTTGAGTACATTCTTTTATTCCATATTCTTTGAAGGGTGACTCTGTGCCAGGCTTTCTGAGATTCTTGATTGTATCACCCTTATTCCAGATAATTCTGCAGTTAAGCTACACCAGACTGACATTCTTTTACAATTTTTCTTAAAATGTGTTGATACAAGAGGGTCGAACAGCCTTATTTGGTATTACTTGTTACTGATACTAATTTCTGCAGCTTTACTTTTTCTGTAAAGTGGATTTGTGACATGTTTCTATGGTAGATGGGGTGGCATTGTAGCAGTCAGGAGGATGTGTCAGTCATTTCCAAAGCCTTGCCTTTGTGCAAGGACAAATAATGGCAGTGAACATTCTTGAACACTTACTAGGTATCAGGCACATGCTAAGCACTTGTGTGTTTTATCTCCTTTATGCCTCATCATAAACCTATGAGCTGGGTTCTCTCACTGCCCCTACTTTTACAGGTGGGAATATGAAATCCAAAGGCATATGGTTGGTAAATTGCACAGCAGGGAATTGAATTTTGATCTAACTCATGTTTTTAAATGCTAAGCTATAAAGTATTCACAAAATCTAAGTCATAAAACAGTCCGAGTCTCTGTTTATCTGGACTTGTAGAATATTTTCACAGGCAGCTGAAGGTGAGTCTGGAGAGTCAACAGAATTTTATCTACTATATTTTTATTTTCTTGGCTTTTTTGTTTCAAGAGATTCCTTTTTGCAGTGGTTTCTAGATTGGTCCTGTAGCATAGTTTATCCTTTTACTACCTCTTAAATCTTTTCTTAAAAGCTTTTTTTAGTATCAAATTGCATATCCCGTTTTGCGTTCACGACCATTTGTTGAGTATGGACCATCTCTGTGTTATCACTTCGGAAACACGGGCTCTTGACTAAACATTTTTTCCTACCTTGCTTGTCTCAGAGCCAGCAAAATTATGGGGGTGTTGAAAACCTGGCCACTTTCTCTCCCTTCGTTTATTCACATGCCTGCCTCTTGCCTGGTGCTATGCCAGCCCCGAGGTGTGCCCGGAAGAACCAGATATGCCACCTGTCCTCAAGATACACATGTGTAATGGAGGAAAGTGCAAAGTAAACAGTCGGTGCTCTAATGGAGGTGTGATGGCTGGAGACAGTGGGGTGTGTGGGGGCCAGAGCAGTGGGCTGGGGAGCGGAGGAAGGAATCTGGAAGAGCTCCCCGGAGAAGGTCGTCAGCTGGTAGCCGTCTTTTGAGCACCAGCTGGTGTTCTCTCTTTTCCCAGACTTGGGTTAAGTGGGTGATGCATCTGCTTCTTGTGTATAAACCAGCACTGGCGTCAGGAAGGCCTGGATGTGAAAACCATGATGAACACCTGGACTCTGCAGAAAGGCTTTCCCCTGATAACCGTCACGGTGAGAGGGAGGAACGTACACATGAGGCAAGAGCACTATATGAAGGGATCTGATGATGCCCCAGAAAAAGGAACTGGGTAATGTTCATAGAGTAAAACTCATTTTGTTGCCTAGGTAATTATCTGTCTTATAGGATGAAACCTCACTTTTGAAATAGTGCCCTTACCTCTATTGCTAAACTGTTTCAGTTGGATCTATGTATCCTATGATGTCGACTTACACCACCCTCCCCCTCTTCCCAAGAGAATTAAGGAGGCTTTAAACCTTGGTTAATTTCAGTGAAGTTGGAGATATATAATTATTTTAATAATCTCCTATTTTTATAGTTTGATAGGATAGTGATTTCTGGTTACTGGCTTGAAATCAGCTCCAATCTAAGCAACTGCTACTAAATTACAATAGTGCATCTGGGTTGGGGCCAAGGATAGAAGAATTTACTCGATTTCTGGGAATTATGAGAGACTTCATTGCATTTTTTGCAAGTCTGGGTCAGATCTTGGAACCTGTTTGTCAGCTTAATGCCACAGAAGGGTATCACTAAAAATGAGAGGCTGCAACTTGATTGACCATGGATGGATACTAAAAACATTCTTTTTCAGCTTGAAATAATTTTAGACTTATAGAGAAGCTGCAAGAATAGTACAAAGAATCCCCATATATCCTTTATCCAGATATATGTTAACACTTTATCATTCTGTGTGTGTATATAAATAAATACATACATGGCATATATTTTCTAAACTATTTGAGAGTAAGTTGGAAACATGATGCCCCTTTACCCCTAAATACTTCAGCATATTTTTTTTAAAAAAGAACATTTACTTATATAATCATGATGCAATGATCAAAACAAAGAAATGAATGTGATACAATACTTTTATCTAATTTATAAACCCCTTTCAACTTTTTCTAATTGTCCTAAAAATATCTTTATAGCAAAACAGAAAAATTCTGGTTCAGAATTTAATACAAGATCACATGTGGTATTTGGTTGTCACATCATTTTGGTCTCTGTTTTCTCTGAAACAACTCTTTAGTCTTTGTGTTTCTTGTTATTAACATTTCTGAAGAGTACAGGTCAGATATTTTATAGAATGTCCTTCAACTTGGGGGCTTTTGCTGTGTCTTCATGATCAGATTCAGGTTATGCATCATTGGTCGGAATTCCACCAAAACGATGTGTCCTTCTCAGTATATGATGTAGGGAGCACATGATGTTGATTTGTGCTATTCCTAGTGGCCAGTGTCTTAAAGTTAGGCCTCTGAGCTCCAATCAGTCAATCAGTAAAGGCTTTGAAGGCTCGCTTGAGCCCAAATTCCTAGCTCTATTCAAAGGGTCCAAGAAGGATGAGCAATGCTTGAGCTGACACCCCCTACAAAGCTGGAAAGCAGACTGCAGTTATTTTGAGAGCCTGGCCACAGCAGGATTAGTACCACCCCATCCTAAACTAGCCAGTGCTTGGCACATGAGAGGTGATTTAATAACTACTTGCAGAATTAAAGCAACAAATCAACAATCCGTCCCTCCTTTCTCTTAGGTACCTGTGGCATGTTCCGTTGACATTCATCACCAGCAAATCAGATAAGGTCCATAGATTTTTGCTGAAAACAAAAACAGGTAATTTCTTGTGGAAATAACTAGTTCACTTCAAGGAAGAAGTATGGAACTATGTAGGATTTAAATACTGAGTTTCTTTTGCTGTTTATCGAGTTAAAACAAAAAGGATCAGACTGAAAATACTTTCTGGTTTTACAAAAATATGACCATTATCTTGCAAGATAGAGATGAAGACAGTTGATTTATGTAATGCTAAAAAGCAGGGATTACTAGTGAAAACTCCCTAATACTTTGTTAACATCACTGGGTTGTATCATACGTATGGCCAGAGATGTGGTTGCATTCTTTTCATAGATCTATAAATCTCACACATTGCATGTCTAAAGCTGGTGTTGGCTTTTGTCTCTTGAGTTGCTGTTTTCTGGTTTCTAAAAGAAATAAGCGATGATTTCAAATCGTTGTTCAGTATTAAACTCTTCTCTGATTTCCTTGTCCAGTCTCCGATCACAAAAGCTTTCACCAGGCAAGAGGGTAAATGGAGCTATGATTTATTTTATTTGCTCTAGATGTGCTCATCCTCCCAGAAGAGGTGGAATGGATCAAATTTAACGTGGGAATGAATGGCTATTACATCGTGCATTACGAGGATGATGGATGGGATTCTTTGACCGGCCTTTTAAAAGGAACACACACAGCAATCAGCAGTAATGATCGGGCGAGTCTCATTAACAACGCATTTCAGCTTGTCAGGTAATACAGGCTGCACAGAGTCGGGCTTTGTTTCTGAAAGCAGCTGTTATCGTTCGAATGTTTGATTTCTGAAGATGAAAATGATTGATGGATTGCTAAGAAGAGGCTGAAAGGTGTTTTCTCCCTAAGTTCTTCTAACCATTCAAGATTGCTTTTAGCCTTAGGATTAGCATTCACCTCCTGTCTGTGACTTGCTAAGTAACTTGAAGGAAGGAATCTGTATTTTAATCTTCCTCATTAACGACTCAGAGCAGACAGAAGCAAAGATGTAGAAAACCAGGAGACTGACATCCTGGCGAAGTCCCTGGCCTCATCCCTGGTCCTGCAGCTTTTTCTGTTCCTGCTCTGCCAGATCAGGTGTCTCCCATGCGGGGTCCTTAACCATCTTGAAGCCTTTTCAGGAGACTAAGTGACCCAGGCCCAAGTTGTCACTATAGTAATGCATCTCTTGGATTAAAGGAGGGATTCTTTTTCTTTCCTAAACCAGATATCCGAACTTTACAGCATCTTTATGGAATACAGCTCATAAACTCTGGCCCAACCCAATGACCTTTGAGTAGTTGCGGAAAGAGTGAACGCTAGCTGTTTTTTTTTTTCCCCCATGACAATGGTTTTTAAGGAAATGCTCCTCAAGCCTAAACTTCTTCACTTTTTAGGCAGAATGGAAGTCCTAAGGGGAACCATCCATGTGGGAAGGGGTAGCTCTATGATTGTTCTATCCCACGTCCCTCTGCCTGGAGTGTGTTCTTCTTTCTGGTTCTTCTTACCAGCAAACGGGGTCTCCCAAGGTGACAAAAAACAACAGGGGAGAAAGCTAGGGGTTACTCGTCTAGCTCTTTCTTCCTGCCTAAAAATTTCTCCTCTGTAGCATATTTTTGCTTGAATCTTAGAGATTTTGTGTTTACTTAAGTATATATCCTACCATTGAGGCTTTTAATGCCAACCCTCTGTAATGAAGGATTTCTATGTATATTCAGTGTCTTTTGAAATGGAGAAGATGAATTTACTCCAGGGACTTGTACGTTTGGCTGAATCTAACCAGGCTTCCTGAAGGATCTTTTATTTTATTTTTTATTTCAGCATATTATGGGGGTACAAATGTTAAGGTTACGTATATTGCCCATGCCCTCCTCCCCACTCAAGTCAGAGCTTCAAGCATAACCATCCCCCAAACGTTACACATCTCACTCATTGTTTGTATATACTCCCCTCCTCCCCCCTGCCACCTGACCGACACCCAATAATTGTTACTCCTATATGTCCACTTAGGAGTTGATCCGTTAATACCAATTTGCTGGTGAGTACATGTGGTGCTTGTTTTTCCATTCTTGAGATACTTCACTCAGTAGAATGGGTTCCAGCTCTATCCAGGAAAATACAAGAGGTGCTGTATCACCATTGTTTCTTAAAGCTGAGTAGTACTCCATGGTATACATATACCACATTTTATTAATCTACTCATGAATTGATGGGCACTTGGGTTGTTTCCACAGCTTTGCAATTGTGAATTGTGCTGCTAGAAACATTCGAGTGCAGGTGTCTTTTTCATAAAATGGCTTTTGATCTTTTGGGCAGATGCCCAGTAGTGGAATTGCTGGATCAAATGGTAGATCTACTTGTATCGCTTTGAGGTATCTCCATAAATGGAATCCTCTTCTTAACTCCGGAAGTTTGGCGCACAAGCCAGTGTCCTATGGGGTCAGATGCTGACCTGCTTCCATTCTGTCTTACCCACACTCAGCCCTTGCTAGTGTCATTATTTGAGAAACTTCCTCCCCAGTGTAAACAGGCTATATATTATGTTATGTGTGACAAAAAAGAGACTGATGTAACAGTTGCTTTGTACAAGGGGCATTTTAATCTGATTGAATGGTTTTGCTGGAAGATTAAAATACACTTTGAAGCAAAAAGTTGATTTCTTGGATTTTCTTTTAAGCCACTAACTATGGTGTTTTTTGATCAGCATTGGAAAGCTATCGATTGAAAAAGCCTTGGATTTAACCCTGTACTTGAAACGTGAAACTGAAATTATGCCCGTGTTCCAAGGTTTGGATGAGCTGATACCTATGTATAAGTTAATGGAGAAAAGAGAGATGAATGAAGTAGAAACTCAATTCAAGGTAAAAGCCTGGAATAGTTATATAATTGTGTTTGTGTGTGTGTGAAAAAGAGTGCTTATCATTGTGTATATATATGTGTGTGACTTCATATATATATAAAGGAAAAGCAAATAAAAATTCAGTATTTGGATAGATAGGAAGGATTTTTGTTTTATTTGGCACCCAAAATAAGAACAGCTTGCTTAGACTCCACACTTAATTTTTGTGGATTTGTTATTCCCTTCATTTCACAAATCATTTATTTCATTTTACTTCTTTATTATGATGGCTGACATTAAGATTTTCTGAGGCTCAATAGTACTTGAGGAAGAGGCATAAATTTGTTATTTTTGGTAAAATGTCATGGAGTCCTGTTGTGTAATTTGCTATAAAATTTGGTCATATAAACTGTCTCTTTTTAGTTTGTTTTTAAAAGTGGCAATTCATTCTCACTTTAAGCAGATAGGGTATCTTATAAAAGATGGTTATGTAAATACCAAAATCATTCATCATTATTCTTGTTTTTTGACTATAAATATAAACAAAGCTGCATAGTTTTTAAAATTAGTTGCAGATTAAGCTTTAAAAATTAGCCCCCATCACCTGAGGCTGTACTGGCTTACGTTAACATGAAATGACCTGTGACAGTGCTGATGACATGTGTTGCTGTTTCCCTGTGCGACCCCCCAGGCCTTCCTCATCAGGCTGCTGAAGGACCTCATCGACAGGCAGTCCTGGACGGACGAAGGCTCAGTCTCCGAGCGGATGCTGCGGAGCCAGCTCCTCCTCCTCGCCTGCGTGCGCAAGTATCAGCCGTGCGTGCAGAGGGCGGAAGGCTATTTCAGAGAGTGGAAGGAATCCAATGGAAGTTCGAGGTCAGTCCCTACTGAATAATTCGTGGATGTCAAAGGTATATTTTCTGTTTTTTTCCTCATCGATGCTAAACATTGGGAAGAACAAGAAGTTCAAGCAAGTCTCTCCTGCTGCCCTTTTTGGGGAAATAAATTGCTTTTTTAAGACTTACCTACACAGCGCCCAACTTTCTGTTTTAAGAAATGCTAGGAGGAAACTTCTGTTCATGAAAGTCAAATATCTGTCGAGTTAGAATAATTTTCATTTTGGATAGCCCGTATCAAATCTTACTGAGACAGCCATACAGAAACAGAGGCAATGTGTTTTGTAGTAGCTTCTTTGGGCTTCCAAAGGCCCTGACAGGGGTGCATGGTAACTTACCCCTGATACTGCCTAAGCAAGAAAGCATCTTACCATATCTGGAAATCCCTGTTCTTGCTATACTTCATTCCTTTCATATTTGGAGGTTAAATCCCATGGAGGAAACATTTATTCCAACAATCTATATGCTTCCATTGAAAGAAATACATACAATCAGTGGTCCTGACTTGTCAGCAGGGGGCAAATATTGAATCTAGTTCAAATTTCTTTCTTTTGGCTTGAAAGGTGACCAGCTATGGAGTCACCCAGCATCATTAAAATATGTTAGATTTGTAGGTATTTATAAAAGTGGCATGTCACATTATGTTTTGGGGAAGGCTACTTTAAACCTAATTTTACATATTTTCTCTTGCCTCTTTCACCAAATGTCACTGAAGGAGCGAAGTAGTTTTTGTTGATATTTCCAGGCATTCTTCTCTGATCATGAAGCCAATTCATAAGTTCATTAATTGGTCACCATTATGCCTCTAAACGCACTTACTATGTTTCAGATTCTCACTGAGTGTGTTCTTTTCCACAGCCTGCCTAATGATGTCACCATGGCAGTGTTTGCCGTGGGGGCCCAGAACCCTGAAGGCTGGGATTTTCTTTATAGTAAATATCAGTCGTCTTTGTCCAGTACCGAGAAAGAACAAATTGAATTTGCCCTCTGTACGAGCCAAGATAAGGACAAGCTTCAGTGGTGAGTCATTCATTCATGTTCCTGTGGCCAGGGGAAATTAGATTAGATTAGATCATTCTGGCATCTATTTTTGTTCTCTTGGCCAGGAATTGCCTGTTCTGCTGGGAACATTACTGCAAGTGGGTACTCATCTAATGAGAATGACAAATAATTAGGAAGAACTAGGTGTTAGGAAAAATATTTAAAGGCGTATGCATTTGTGTATCTTTAAAGTAATAACATACTTGAAATATTTACCAGTGATACTCAACTATTCTTTTGAGCCAATGAGAAAATATATGAGAATGGATGTTAACAATGAAAACGAACGTTTATACAGTGTTTTTTATGTAGCTCTTGTGGGTTTGTCAGGACTCTGCCTATCTGTTTATCCTTTTGGCTGTTACTATTGGCAGACTGGTTTTTAGTCTTTTACAGATTATTTCATTGTAGTCATTTATAACTGTTTCATCAGCTATTCATTGCTAACATTGCTTCTCTTAATCCTTCCAGGCTTCTAGATCAAAGTTTTAAGGGAGATATAATAAAAACCCAGGAGTTTCCAGATATTCTTAGACTCATTGGCAGAAACCCAGTAGGATATCAATTGGCCTGGCAGTTTCTGAGGGAAAATTGGAATAAACTTGTAGAAAAGTAAGTAGTACCAAAAATTGTGCTATGACTGGGTAAGTTCCCCCTGTAACCGTACTGTGTTGTAGGCTTATTGTTTATAAAATAACAATAATGGTTTAAGGGGATTTTTTGATTGAAGGTGACATTAGAAGTACTTAAAATATCCTTAGAAAATATAAAACTCTAATTCAATGCTAACTGATAAATCTGGACAGGGACCTTTTCCCTTCTATCTGGAATGACCCCTTCCTGCACCCACGGACTTACTTGAAGCCTTCCTCCTTACAGGCAGCCCACGTCTTCCATTAGCACTTTGGCTTGTTTGCTTCTGCCTTTGTGTAGCTCTTGAAGCACTTTCTACCTCTATCATTTTCTTTGGGATATTTAACCTTTTATAAACTAACACCCAAGTGCCCATCAATACATGAGTGGATTAATAAAATGTGGTATATGTATACCATGGAGTTCTACTCAGCCACAAAAACAATGGTGATCTAGCACCTCTTGTATTTTCCTGGATAGAGCTGGAGCCCATTCTACTAAGTGAAGTATCACAAGAATGGTAAAACAAGCACCACATGTACTCACCATCAAATTGGTATTAACTGATCAACACTTAAGTGCACATATAGCAGTAACATTCACTGGGTGTTGGGCAGGTGGGAGGGGGGAAGAGAGGATGGGTATATACACACCTAATGGGTGCACCATCTTGGGGATGGACATGCTTGAAGCCCTGACTCGGGTGGGGCAAGGACAATATATGTAACCTAAACATTTGTATCCCTGTAATATGCTGAAATAAAAAAAAAATTTTAAAAACCCAGATTTTAGTTAAATGCTGTTATATATATGAAGCTCTTAAAAATATGTTGAATGAATAAATATTTCACAATACATTTTGTTAATTTCGGTTTCCAGGTTTGAACTTGGCTCACCTTCCATAGCCTACATGGTAATGGGCACAACAAACCAATTCTCCACAAGAACACGGCTTGAAGAGGTAAAAAAAAAAATAATCTTTCTATTTAAACTTGTGACAGTTAGGGTTCTCTGGCTACCTCACTGAAAAAACAGAGCCTCTACTCTCATGGAGCTTAAATTCTACTGGGGGAATCAGACAATTACAGATGAATCAAGCTATGTCAAGTAGTTACATGCTCTGAAGATGAATAAGGCAAGGAGAGAGAGTGATCAGGGTAGGTGGATGGTGCTACGTTGTATAGGGTGATTAGGAGACATTTGAGAAGATGTTAAAGGAAATGCAGACATCTAGAAGAGTGTTGTGTGCAAAGACCCTGAGGCAAGGCATGGAAATGAAAGAGCCTGAGATATCATAATGGAGAACGTCCTACTGCCATTTAAAAGTGGGGGTCATCCTGAATCCTTTCTGCCCCTCACATCTAATTTATCCTGAGTCCTGTTGGCACTGCCTCCAGCATGTGCACCTCTCCTCTCTGCTCTTACACTCATCCAAGCCTTTCCAATCTCTTGCCTGGCCTCCCACTTGCCACTTTGCCAACAGCAAACCATTTCCCACATTTAACACCGCATATCAGCCCATCATTGGCCCTGCCTTCTTGAAACCCTGCCAATTGCTCTTGCAATAAATTCCAAGCCCCTCCTTGCCATGTGTCTGAGACCACGATGACCTGGCTTCTGCGACAGTTCCCACTGGTTTTCCTGGTTCACTCTTTCTCAACACTGGGGCCCCTCTGCTGCCTCCTGCTGCTGGGACACCAGATGTTTCTCCTGTCTTCAAGACTGTACTTTTCCTTTTTTCTGCCTGGCTTGCTCTTTCCCCAGCTTTTCACTTCTAGTGAAAGGCTCATTTTATCTTTTAGAGATTCCAGCTCAACTGTCACCTTCCCCTACCATGCTGTTTAAAGCAGGCCACCCTCTCCCTGTTTACTGTCACACTCCTAGCATATGTTCTTCACAGCGGTATGTTTATCATAATCATAATTTACTGCCTCCTCCTCCTCCTCCCCCCCCACCCAGGTAGACTGTAAGCTCCATGAGGGCAGGATGCCTGCCTGATTCACTGCCTCATCCTCAGTGTCTAGACCAGGGGTCCTCAAACTTTTTTAAATGGGGGTGCCAGTTCACTGTCCCTCAGACCGTTGGAGAGTGTGACGCACATTCCACACATGCACTGTGGGCCCGGGACAAGTCGGCTGCTAAGCAGGACAGGCAGCAGCGGCAAAAACACCCGGAGGGCCCCACGTGGCCCGTGGGCCGTAGTTTGAGGACGCCTGGTCTAGACAGTAATTATGGCAGAGGGATGAACAGGTATCAGACTAAATATTGGTGAATGGGTTGTTGAGGTTGGGTTCTGCACTTACCCACGTCATGTCCTCACCACTGCTCTGCAGGGTAGATATTCTCCCCATTTTACAAATGAGAAGACTGAGTCCCGGAGAAGTTAAGTCATTTGCTCAAGGTCAAACAAGTTAGGAGGATAAACCTGTTTTTCTATCCCTATAATGCACTACTTATTGCACAGAAAATGTTCTCAAAGAGGCAGGTTTGCATCAAATATTCAGTTGAGATGCTGCATTTCCAAGGCAGATGACGGTAGAAGAGACAGTTTTGGGTCAGGAAAAGGGTAAGGGCAAGGGTCAACAGCTGGCTTTAGTGGTGCTAGCATGATGGGGTCCTTTAGGGTTAATTAAATAATTTGAGCAATTAGTAAAATTGTTGATGTGGTTTGACTGTTGCAGAGTGCCCACAGTGATTTTTAATTGACTGTGAATTAATCTTGAGTTCTGAGAGTATGAAGCAGTAGGTTGAGCTACAGCTGAAGGCAGGACAGTGGAGACGGAGAAGTGTTTTCCAGGTTGCTACAGCAGGGGGCCATGCCTTCAGCTCGTTCAAAAGTTATACTGTGCTTAGATATAATTTTAAAACAACACTGCATCATTTCAAATTGGAATTTGATCTTTCTAAACCTATTCCTACTGTCCCCTTTATTCCAAAACTTACAATGTGGTATTATGACACAGGATTTTAAGGAATTAGCTGTCTAGAATCCATGCTGAATAAATAATACATCTTGGCCTACACTTGCTTCCTGACTACAAAATCAAAAATGGATGGATTAATGCTGTGAAAATTTATGAGAAAAGGTTAAGAACTCTTTAAAGTGAAAGAGAACAATACAGTGATCATTGCTGTGGCAAAGCCAGCCTATTCCTCATGTGACATTAAGGGGTTAAAATATCCAGAGATGAAACAAGAACAAAGAATTTTTTTAGGAGATAGCCAAGAGTCTCTTATCTTTTTAAAATCACGGGAAACTTTATGTGGATTTTATCTTGAGGGAACAATACGTGAATTGTGGATTAGGATAAAAAACATTGGCAAGGTTTGGGGTCTTACCACCATAACTTGCTAAGAACCCCATTCCCCACAGTGTTTCTATAATAACATACAAGGCTAGGCCCATGAAGAAACACTGCACTTATGTGGTTTAAACTGTTTTGCTTGGCAAAGACGATACTCTGCACATTTTGCTTTTTAGATATCATGTTTTAAAAAAAAATTAAGTTTGCATCTGTGTATACAGAACAGAATACATGTTAAATAGACACACTCAATTAAACCTTAATTATAAAACGGTAAACAGTGAAGTCTTTTAAAGCTTGGCAACTGTGAATAAATAAGAGCTGCAGAGAAAAAACACAAAACCTGACATCATGAGGTATGAGCTCATTTCATATAGCTTATGTGTACATAATCATATCCAGACACCTGGGGCTGCCTTCTATATAGAATTTTGACAAATGTTGGAATCTTGGCTTCAGTTTTCTTTTAACGAGCCTGAAGTTACATTTGCTTAACGTAAATAAAATTAATTTACAAAAAAAAACCAATTTTGTCCTCACAAGGTAAAAGGATTCTTCAGCTCTTTGAAAGAAAATGGTTCTCAGCTCCGTTGCGTCCAACAAACAATTGAAACCATTGAAGAAAACATACGGTGGATGGATAAGAATTTTGATAAAATCCGAGTGTGGCTGCAGACTGAAAAGCTGGAATTGCTGTGACAGCTGGTCCTTGCCAGGTTCCTGTTATCTACAATCACCAAAATTTTGTTGGATGTCAATGTTTTCAAGCTAGAGATGGCTGTTTTGGCTCCAGCTGAAGAAACTTTTCTCTTCCACTCATGATTCATTTGACTATTCCCAAGAAAAGATTGGCTGTTAGTTTTTTCATCAATGGGCTATTGCTACCACGTGTTTCATTTACAGGTGGTGTCCTAAGATATAAAGTCGAGTGGTGGGTTCCTTACCATGGAGGAATAAAGTAACTTGTTCTCCTTTTATATTTTATGTTTAAGCCCCGTAGTATCCCAAACCTCCATGCCCCACCTGTTTGTCATTCATAAGCTGTTTCATCAATCTCCTTGAAAGACTTTGAATAGTGAAGACTACTGAACGATGAACACCTGGCTCACAGATGAAGCCGGACTGTGGTGCTGTCCACCCTCTCCCACTGACCCCTCCAGCTCCGCCATCCACCCTTCTCTTCCTTGCTCCTTGCCCAGGGACTGGCTGGTAGGTCCAAGTCATCAGTCTTCCTTGCCCTTTGGATTTTGGTCAATGGTGGCTCCAGGAGGTTGGAGCTGGGGTCGGGGGATGGAGTAGGTGGATGTGTTTCTTCCCTGGTTCCCTTGCAGGAGGCCTCGGGCTGGGCTCTGCAGAAGGTCTCAGCTCCTGAGAGGTGGCCCTCTTTTCCACACAGACTTCTCCATTTTGGGGTTCTGGTCACTGCTTCCTTCCCACATCTCTTCAGGACTAGGGGTCTCAGTGGGAGCCTGGCTTTTACTAGTCCTGGTGGTCTTTGTGGTTTCCTTATGCCTGCTCCTTTACATAAAGTCCTTTTATAGAACCCTCCTCAGATAATTCTGAGTGTCACCTCTTTCCTCAGAGATCCTGACTGATAGAGAGTCTTTTCTGAAAAAGCGAGTGCATTCAGGTCTATAGGAAAAACCTTCCATTGGAAGTTGTACCAGAGAGCTGTTGATTCTTAGGGAGGTGATATTTTCTCTGTTCCTTATTTGGCCTAGTTTTTAATTCCTAAATAACTCATTATTGGCACTTATTGCCAATAAATGATTACAGAATTATCAATTAATGATAATATACTGTTGAAGTGGAAAATATTTGCTTATATTTGCCTAAGTGAGGACAATGTATTTTTTGGCATTGAAGTCATATATGAATTTTTTGAATATAGCAAAAATTTCAAGATAAAGGAATATGATATAAAAAAGTCAATGTGTTGCTCTAATACACTATAAATGGAGTGACTTTTCTGGGCTTAAATGTATTTTCAATTCCATTTTTATACTTATTTTTAAGAAATGAAAATGAAAACAGAAATCACTGGTAATTTCCACCCCAGGCTATTTTCCTTCTAAAAAAAAACCATACACACAACAGCCAAGATTTTAATGTAAAATATTTTGCTTTAATTATATTTTATATCTTGATTAATGAAACATGGAAATGCTGACTTTCAGTTTTGGTCACCTGAGGAACCTATCTTCATGTGCTTTTAGAAAAGCCCATTTTCTAAACAGATACAATATTGCCACAACAGTGTGCAGAGACCTTTTTGGTAATAAAAAATTTTCTTCCCTCTAAACATATTTGTGATTATTTTTTTCTAATTAGACAAAGAAAGGGCCGTCGCTTTTGATCCCAAAGCTTATTCCAGTCATCCTTAGTTACCAGCAAACACTCAAGTCTCCAATATATTTCTCATAAAAAAAGGTGTATTCAGAGTACCTTAAATGTTTACTTTTACAGGGACTTTTAAACTTCTGGATTTTGGTATGTCGTTAAAAATTCTATATATGCATGGATGTTAGTAATACTGCAGCCACACCCTTGCAAACACATCTGTCAGTGTCAAAGGTTTCAAAGTCTTTCTTGTTTAAACAAACAAAAGCAAACACCTATTCTGCCCAAATGGGAGAATTAGGTATATAGTTAAAATCCCTCAGGAAAAGTGTTTTTTTGTTGTTGTTACTGCCTTAAAAATAGAATAATGACTGTATCTCTGATGGGACAGAAATAGCATTTTAAGCAGGTAACTTTTAGAGAGTGTTTTTAGGGAATACTAATAAAATTTTATGCCCATTATGTAACAGTGTTATTACTTTTGCTTGCCTGTCCCTGCACTCCATTTAGACAGTATTGGCCATATTACCTGTTTTTAGTGAAGTCAGTTAAGTCCTAACAAAAGCTTTCAACTGATGCTAAGGAAGGCCATGCTCTTTGGAAACAAGTTCCAAATCTTTATGTGCCTGACATCTTTTCCTGTATTCACTACCAGAAAATACAGATGAAATTAAATATTTATCAAAATTCCATCAGTGATATCAGTGCGGTGTTCATGAACTATTCATTCAGAAAGATCTGAGAAACCATCAAAAGTTGTAAGACATCAGAGCCTAGTTCTTAAACTGTTGTGGGAGAAAAGCAGATTTTAAATTTCAGATATATGTATTTTTTTTAAAGCAGAAGTCTTTATATTTAGTAAACTTAACTTCCATCAAGCCAGATGCTATACAGTGCAAAGACTAATGAGACAATGGCTCTAAGCAAACAATTGCTGCTCAGATTTTATGTATAGAAAATAGAAAGCACAGTTTAATTCAGTAAACCAACAGAGTTCAAGCCATACGAATATTCTAAGAACTAGATTTTATTTCTTACTCTCAAAACTTGCTACACAGTGACTTCTCTAGCCTGTATTTGGCTCTTTTGCTGACTTGATTCAAGGCTCATTGTGTTTTATGTTGACTTTAGGGTACAAACCTCACACCTGGCAAAGAAGAGTTCAAACTGAAAAGGGTTCGGTGTTTCCTGGTTTGTCCAGGGTATCTGTTAATTTATTAGCAGCCCAAAAGGAAATATGTGCCCAATGTACAATATTTTATGTTTGACTTATAAACAACTCCAAAAAAAAAAAAAATCAAATACAGTTCAAAAACCCAAGAGGAAAGGGCGTAATGAGAAATCAGAACACTGAAGAATGTTTAAAGCATTGTTTTCTAAATGCTAACAAAAAATGAAGTGCAAATTGAAAATACTAATGAGATTTACAGGCACTGTGTAGAATGTGCAAAAGTTTGCAAAGTTTTTCTTTTTTTGGTGTTGCTTTAAGAAACTTTATCAAATATATTTATTACAAATATAAAGCTTCCTTTCTCTCCCAACCAAAGGCAATTTAAAAAAAAATTCAAAGTTCATCAAGACTCAGTACAATAACACAGGTGAACCAGACAAATTCATTTTTTTTTCTGGAAAAGAACAACAAACCAATGTTTAGGATGTCCAAAGACTTAAATATCACTGTCTAGCAGCCACCCAGAAAAATTGTTTTCTGTTGCCAAAGCTTTTTGTTCTTCAAGTCACCATTCACCAGCTGAAGATTTTATATGCAGATACCTTGAGAAATTAAAATAAAAAATCCAGTGAGCCATTTGATATGTAATCTTATTGTTATAAGCACAGTAAATATAACATTTAGCATAAGCATTGTATAACAGACAATAAGAAGAAATTTACTCTAAGTAAACACAAGAGTGGATTATTAATAGAAATCTTTATTTAAATTTTGGGGAAAAATATTTATAGCAGTTCTAATCAGTTTACCTCCCTTTATAGGAAATAAAAATGGATCATGCTGAGAGAGCTGAACCCAATCTAACCTTCTTTTTGATTTCTTTTAGGCTTTGGTCAGTAAGTGGTTGTATGCTTTTGAAGGTTTAGAGATAAGACCTCCCATTTCTGAAGATTAAGATAAAGACCCACCCAGCTCTCAAGATAGGTCTCAGATTCTTTCATCTGTTGGATTTCTTAAGTCACCATAAATTAGAATCAAACACAGTTCTTTACAAAATAAAGAAAAATAGAAGTGGCCAATCTTTTCCTTTGCCCTTGTTCCAAAAACCCTGTAATTTCCCCTAGACCCTAAACTTCTCCCTACCCTACCACATGTTGGTATTCTGGGTAATAAGAATATTTAAGGGCATTTTGCTAAGTTGTAACATGCTAATTTTGCTTTGCCATAACAACGTGCAGTCATGAGCATTGGATTTCAAAGATTCAACTAGCCTTAGATAGTCATTTTCTTTAAGTGTCTGGCTTAATATTTTAAAGAGCTCTTAATTATAAGATTGTGGTTTTTAAACTTTCCAGTAGCACAATCATCCCATTTAGTGCTTTTCAGAGAATGACCGATTACTCTGTAGATTTTGCAATGTGCATTTCATACCCATAGTATAAAGAGGGGATGGCATACGCAAGGGGTGGACTTCATTTCTCTTACCTATAACACATAGGTTGGTAGAAGGTAGAATTGTCTTCATTTACACGTTAGTTTACATTTAAATGAATGTCTACATTTACATTCAACTTACCAAGGAGTGTAAACTTTAACTTGTATTCTTTCCATCAGTGTTTGGCTTGGAAGTTTCCTCTGTTGTCTAAAAGGGAAAGCAAAACCATCAGTGAGTTCTTTCTTTTCCAGATTAAGGATTAAGAAAACTGAGCAGAGGTGGTTTATGAGGAGAGGGGCTTCTCAGAATTAAAGGGACAAAGGATGGCAGTCAGTGGGGGAAAATAAGATGGTCCTTTCAAAGTTTCTCTTCATTTGGCCTAAACACTATGAGTTCTTTCCTCTCAAGTTTATGAGCTAAAAATAATCTTAAGTGATCCTGAATTTCTTAAACTTTTTTTTTTAAGGCCAGGGTAGGTAAAGAAATTTCTTTAGCAAGGTATGTGAAGGGATAGTGATTTACAAAATCTTTTATTCAAAATACATTCCAGTAAGACATTAAGTAACTAAAGTGATAAACCCCACTCCATGTAATTGCTAAACTAATGTGTAGTATATTTACTGCTCTGTTTACCTTTGCTGAATCCTTTGCTTTACCTCCATTCTTGGGTGCTTTGGAACTGGAAGCAGACTTCTTGCTCTTATCCTAAAGCAAAAGAGATGTAATGAGGATATTACTACTATCAAACTCTACCTAGCGATGAACTACTGGCTACAATCAAGTTAATTCAGACTATTCTTGCTAGCCTGGAGATCTCTAATTAAATAATGGAAAACTTTGGGTGTTTTAGTCATGATTTTTTTCGGAGGGTGGGAGCCTGAGCATGCACTGTCATCCAGGCTAGAGTGCAATGGTGCGATCACAGCTCACTGGAACCTCAAACTCCTGGGCTCAAGGGATCCTCCTACCTCTGCCTCCCAAAGTGCTGGAATTATAGGCATAAGCCACCACACCTGGCCTTAGTCATGATATTTTGAACAGTGGTGAATGTACATAGAAGTGTTTAGGGCAGGAGGTAAAAAGGATACAAATGAGGGAAATGTGTGGGTTACATTGATGCTCTGCCAATTTCCATGATGCATGATTCACCCTGACATTATTTTGCTCATCAAAACAGAGCTTATCTATGAGATACAAATGTGGGTGAGGGTGTGTAGAAAAGGGAACCCTAATACACTGTTAGGAATGTAGATTGGTGCAGCCATTATGGAAAACAGTATGGAAGTTCCTAAAGAAATTAAAAATAGAACTACTATATGACCCAGCAATCCCTCTTCTTGGTATATACCAAAAGAAGATGAAATTATCGCCTCATAAATATATCCGCACTCCCATGCTCACTGCAGCATTATTCACAATAGCCAAGGTATGGAAACAACCTAAATGTCCATCATCAGATGAATGGATAAAGGAAATGGGGAGTACATATACACACAACAGAATATTACTCAGTTTTTAAAAAGGAGATACTGCCATTTGCCACAACATGGATAGACCTGGAGGACGACATGCTAGGTGAAATAGGCCAGGGACAGAAAGAAAAATACTGCATGATCTCACTTACATGTGAGATATATACAAGAAAAGCTCAAATACACAGAACATGGAACAGAATGGAGAAGCTGAGCAAAGGGAGATGAAGGTCAAAGGAAAGAAAATAGCAGAGATGTAGGATGAGCAAGTTTAGAGATCTAATATACAAAATGAGCACTAATGTTAATAACATTGTGTTAGAGATTTTTGTTAAATAAGTAAATTTGAGCCACTCTTGTCGCAAGAAAACTATGTGAGATGGCAGATATGTTAATCTTCACTATGATAACCATTTTACCAGCTATATGTATCCCATAATATCATGTTGTAAACCTCAAATATATACAATAATTTTTTAAAAAAAAAACAGAAAAACAAAATCAACTGGAAAAAAAAAAAACCAAAACAGAGCTTGTCTCTATTGGGAGTGGCTTTTAGGTGCCACCAGAGCAAAAGCAAGACACTATATTCAGTGTTATGGAAGAGAAATGTAACAATGGGGAAACAACCCCAGAAAGCTGGAGCAGGTTACATATAAAAATAAAGTCCATTCACAAAAAGGGCATTACATGGGAGTTCCCTGGAGTGAGAAATAGGATGCTGAGGTGGTCTAGAAAGTAGATAACCCAATATGAGAGGACTGACCATTCAGTGATTGGGAGCTATGCTTCAGAACAGCCAAAGAAAATGGCAAACCAAGATTTGCAGAATTAATTCTACTGAAAATCACAATGAAGGCACTCATTTCACTTTTCCTTCTGTTTGATTTACGGGGGAGAGGGTGCAGTTTATAGGTAAAATGCCCCACACCTGTTGAATTGCACAGTAGTTTTTCATTTGCTTTTAATGACATGCTTTGAGCACCTGCTAAGCACTAGGCAGTTAATGCTGAGCTCAGAGGTAAAGGACACCTCACTATTGTGTAAGGTGACAGCTCGGTGCTGTAATACACATGCACTGACAGGTAACCAGAGTGCAGGGAGGGCATGGAGGACAGGCCTGTCACCTTGGCCTGGGGAGGGAGAAGGGGTAAGACATGACAGTCTCCCTGAAGGATCTGATACTTGAGCTGTGCCCTGAGCAATGAGGAAGCATCAACCAGTTGGACCAAGCAGAAAGGGTAGCAAACTCAAGAAGGCAGGTGAGCATGAGAGGGCCTGGTATAGTTAGGGACTGCTCTCATTTTAAATGGACACAGGCATAGCATTATTGTCACACCACCATGTAGTGTGGCATTCCAAAATGATGGCTATGGGAATTTTAAAGCAACATGACAAACATTTATGAAATAACATTAAGCAATGTTTTATAAATGGACTACGAGTATAATTATGTAAAATATACATATGGAAAAAGGCAAAGGAAATCTACCAAATAATAGTGTTTGTGGGGTAAAGTATAGATATTTTTTCCTTTCTCTATTTTCAGGTTCTTTCTGGCATCATTTGATTCAGTCTATAGTTTAAAAATTATATATATGTACATATGTATTTCAAAGAAAATCGATATGAAAAAGCTCAATACCTTTGCTGTGTTCTGTGAGGTTTCTGTATTTGAGGGACAGCTGTCTAAATCTCCTGAGAGGGCATCAATGGGGTCCTTGTCATCTGCAGGTTTCTGAGATGTGAACAGAAATAACCATCAGGGAAGAAGCACAAGGCAAAATGCTATATGGGGCATTTCCCCACATCACTTAAAAGATGTTTATTTTTAAAAAGTTGCTGACTTTTTTTTTTTTTACTAACAATGCATCATAAAGGAAATAGTAAAACATGAAATCTTGACAGCTTTATTTTCTTTTATTCTGATACAAGTTGCTTAGTGTTCTCTGAGCCTTAGTTTTCTCACCTGGAAAATGGTACGCCTACCTGAAAGGGCTTTTGTGATGACTAAATGAGATGTCATTAATAGACACACACATTTATATGCATGCCTTGTCAGATACATGTGTACCAAGCAAGCTCAGGGTAGGCATCCAATACATTTTAGTTTTTTAAGATGCAAAATAAAACCACAGCTAGGTTTTTTGTTTTTGTTTTTAAATAGAAACATGCTACTATGGTAATTACCTTTGATTCCTTTGATTTCTTTGTAGGTGGCTTCACGGATTTGTCCTTAAAAACAAGGCAGAGTATTGATTAAACATAAATCTTTATAAAGCTTTATTTAGGCTTTGTCAGTACATATAGGATCTATTACCAATGTCTTGACTGGGATAAATGAAAAGTACAGATTTGCAATAACTGATAAACCTGGGTTCCTACTGTATCTTCACCAGCTTTGCATAATTACTACCCTTCTACCCATTTAATAGACTTGGGGGAAATTTAAGAAAGAGTCTGGCCCTGGAAGTGAAAGAAACACTACTTAGGAACTTTCTGCCATCATGTGCTCTATCATTGATAATCCTACTTCATATGTTATAAAAAGTTATTCGTGTTTTTCTGTCTTATTTACTATAGCTCATTACACACTTTGAAATTCATCAGGGATTTTCCCATCTTCGAAGGTAAGGGCATTAAATAATAATACATTTCCCAACGAATAGAAGGCAAGGTGGTACTATCAAGGCGGGGAGGACTCCAGCAGGCTGCAGAACTGCTATCTGGAGGCATACCAAAGGCAAGAACAAGGAGAATTGATTCCTGTAACAGGAAACCACTGGGACTGACAGTGCTCTTCAAACTAGAGAGTCATCTTGCCCTCCGAGAGAATCAGTACAGAAAGAGAAGGGTGTAGTTTCCTCTTCCTTGTTTTTATTTGATGAACGGGCCTGCAAAGGGTTATTTATCTAACTGACTCGAAAGTAGGAGCTGAATAGGAAAGGGGCAGGGGAAAGAGGGAAGCAGATAGCAGGCTGGGTTGACCTAAGAACTGGCTTCCATGTTGGAGACACAAGTTAGGACTTTGGGACACAGACACTAGACTTGTGACTCAGAGTATCATTTTGCATGTCTTCACTTTCAATAGTGCTAGTGGTGATGTAGAAGAAAGGGAGACCGCAAGTCTTGGAGCTGCCTTATTTATTTGCCCTGTTAATTATTCCAACACTAGTTCCTTTTCTGCTCTCCTCACACAGAGGAAATTCCTTTGAAATTCCATTGCCTTGGACATTTTTATAGCCTTTTCTTGAAAAGAGAATCTGTCTGTGTACATCTCTTGGATCACTCTTAAGCATCAGTGAGTGACTGAACATTATGCAACAACCCTGTTCATATCACAGAGCCAGCATGTGAATATCAAATGATACTGGCTTAAACTGATATGTATAGAATTCCAGACTGTCTGTTCATCAGCTATAGGTGCACATCAAAAGCAGTCAGTTATGACATGTTCTACATGTTCTTATGCTATTGTAAAAGGTGCAGCTTCTATTTATTTCAAGGGTGGTTTGAATTTAGAAAGCTTTGCAGCAAATCTGATCTAGCCTTTTGCCTCAGTTTACCTTCCCATCACCATCCAGGAGATGTCTGTATTCAGGTGGGATAGTGTCATCTCTTTCTCCAAGCATGTCTCTGTGTTCGGCTTTAGTTTTCTCCTATTAACAGTGAGCAGACTGATTAACATTCATTTCCTCCTTCACTTAGAAAATACAGTCTAAAATGCCATATTCAGCATTCCGTATACGTTTATGAAGCAAAACATGTGGTCTGGTTTTATTTTTTAAGCAGCAGAACAACACGGATGACTTCAACAGACTACTACTTGGTGAAAAAATGTAAACACATATGCCTCTTCTATATGTCAATCCATATCTGTGAATTTTCTATCTGTATTCTAAATTGAAATAAATGGCTAAATAATTATCCTTGAAAACTATGTTAGGAGATAAAAAATATATTTTATACCCTTGGGTTTTATGTATGACTTTCACTTTTCAGGTAAAAAAAAAAAAAAAAAAACCAGGCCACTGAACCTTGGCACTTAGGTAACAATTACAGCTTTGCCTAGTTATAAGCACTGCTGAAGGATGGGACAGTCACTGACCTCAGTGGACATGCTGATGGCTCTTGCACTGCAGGTGAGAAAAGCTGCCCCTGAGTAAGTTGTGTCTACCTGCTAGCGTCCCCACCTCAGTGAGGCTTGGCTGGCCTTTTCTCCCAGATTCAGTGGCCTCCCCTCCACCCCAGTAGAGTTCAGATTTATTTTTCTACATCATTATAATTCCATTTTTCAAATATAGATTAAGTTCCCATCAGTATTCCTACAACAATGATAGAATAAAGACCCAAGGATTAAAATGTCACTTATTCATGGATTTTTTTTTTTACCTTTACTTTATCGTCCATTGGTTTGTTCTCATCAGGATCAGGCTGTCTCTGTCCTAGACTGTCAGAGAGTTTATCCAATGCATCGTCCAGTTCTTTGTCACTCTGCTAAAGAGTAAATAATTCTGAATTAGTCAGTGGTTAGCCAAACTGGATCAGAGGCAAACCAGCCTGGGAACCCCACCTTTTCAGGAGGGGACCTGTTCCTGTGGAAGAAAAAGACATCTGGGGGTAGCACAGGGGGCAGAGAAAAGACAGACATCTGGGGGTGGTGCGGGGGACAGACAGGCAGAGAAGAGAAGCCTGAGAATGGAAGATCAGGGAGGAGCAGCGGCACCTGTCAACCTGCCAGTGTTGGAGTCCAACACTGCCATCTCCTGGGGAAGGTCCCACCAGCTTAAGAAGTCTTAGTGGTAGTATCAGGGGCCACACCCCAGGAGGGTGTGACCTAGAGGCCTCTTAAAGGGTCCAGAAGTAAATGAACCATTCACATTCTTTTCATTTAGAAATCAAACATGATCAGAAAACTGGATGTGAAAATAACATCCACAAATGGTTAGGAAGCAGGATGTTGAGTGTTCCTTTGGTTTAGTGGGTGCACTCTAAGAGCAGATCCTGAAGGGGGCATCGCATACAGTGCAGCATGACAACACACAGAAGGTGGGAAGCCGTGGAGCCCAGCACTGCCACCTCAATACTTCCTAGAGCATGAAAGCCCAGAGACAGTGTCATGAGAGTGGAAAGGGCTTCACACTGGAGACAAGGGGCCTCAAAAGACTTCAGAGACTTTCTGAACTGGTGGGGAATCTCTCTCTCTCTCTCTTTACCTTTAGGAAGCTCAGGAAAGGTAAACTGCAGAAATGAATGGGAGCTGGTATTCTAGGGGGAAAAATGGCCACCAGAACAGCAATGTTAGGGTAATGCAAATAGCTTATTTCCTCTAACAGGTATTTACTGTATGATTCAGGTAAGTTATTTAATCCCCCGAGCCTCAATTTCCTTGGCTATGAAATGCAAATAATAATAGAGAAGTAAGTGATTGAAAAGGCATTTAACACAGTACTTGTTGTACGTTAGTGCTTAGTAAGTTGTACATTAATGTTTATTACAGTGAAGTTCTGAGAAGTTTTTTTCAAAATATTTTTCAACATAGTGCATGCAAAATGTTGACTTCCATCTCTGTATGAATTCAATTAAAATGTGTTTAATATCTACACTGTACAAGACACCATGCTGAGCTCTGTCTTACACCGTATAGAACTTTCTAATTGATGTTAAAGGTGTTTGCATATATGTTACCCAGTTTTATTTGATGCCCACAATAGCCCTGAGTAAACCAGTAAACTAAGCATGGTTTTTCTGGAGGTAGAAAGCAAGCTTAGGGAATCTAAGTCAGTTGCTTGAAGACATACTATTAAACAGTAAATGGAACCCAGGTCTTGGGACTGACAACATACAAAGCTTTCCCCTGTCCTGCTCAGTCATATCCATGATCCTCCATTTCCTCCTGAAGCAGCTTTTACTGTTGGGGTGATTTTATTACACAGCTCTTTGAAAATATATGTCTTAAAGATGCTTTCAGTGCATGTAACACTGCTGATGACAGTCTAAGACCCCCATCAAAGAAAGCTCCCATGAATTGTGATGGCTTAGTTGACTCTTTGTTTAAATAGAGTTTTATACATAATTTTAGTGATATCTCAAATACAATATTAACTAAAACAAGACTTTCTGATGGACAAAGTAATAAGAGAAGTGTCATTCTTAAAACCTACTCATTAAAGGCAAAAGCTTTTTGATTGCTAATGTTTACTAACAGCCTCCAAAGCAGGCAGAACCTCTGGCCCCATTGTTAAAAATGGGAATGTGAATGGCAGCCTGGGTTATTAGTGAGTCCTCCTTTCTGTTGCATAGGTGCTTTCATCATGTGGATAGTTTGCACACGCACATACACACACACACACACACAGGGCATTTTACTGGTTGTAAGAGCTTCATTAGAGCCCAGGATTATAGCTGCTAATGGTGGAGCTACCCACAGCCCCTAATGGTCTGGGCTTTGTCATCTGTGCCTCTGGATATTTTCAGATGATCTTGAGGCTGACCCAACAGGATGAAAATTCATCAGGATCTCAGACTACAGCACTCAGTACGCTTTGATGCTACATCAAAAGGAATGGAAACATAGCTGACTTCACTAAAGCTACTTCATCTCCTCCTAGCAAACGAGGCACTGTTCTCGACCAAAGGAGAGGGGATCTGGTTTAAGGCAATCCCTTTATCTTTTGATGTGCCGTGGTCTCCTCGATAATGTATAATTTGGTACTGCACAGGTAATTAATCAGGGAAGTCTGGAAAAGCTTTCGTCCCACAGCCTTGCCTCAGAACATGTAAATAATTAAAACAACACTGCTGCTGAGGTTTGCCTATTGCTATCGATAGGAAATGACAAACGTTTAATGGTGTGAATGGGAGGAAAACAATGCTATTCCATGATATGTCTGTTAAAAAAATTTTTGAGACACTCAGACACAAGAATTCCATAAAATAAACTTTGAGGTTAAATAATGGGTAGTAAATTATAGCATGTATTAGGAAAAATATAAAGGAGAAAATCAATTGTCGCGAAAGCTAGAGAATTTTTTAAATCTGGTAATTCAAATATAGACACAATGCACATTATTGCACTTTCAGTTCTAATGAAGTGACAATAATATTATGTTCCTCAACTGTGTAGGATACTTTCACATATATTGTTTCATTTCATCATTTCAAAGTTATTCTCTGTCATCTCCCTAAATCACCAGTCTTAGCTCTTCTGAAACAGAAGGTGCCTGATCTTCCTAATAATTTAGTCTATTTTCATTTGCTCTAAGCAGGTGCCCTATTTTCTTTCTTGTTGCTGTTGCAAAAACAAATATTTATCTCTCAAATAAGATACATTGCTTACCGAAGTGTCCGGGGGTGGGGCTGCAGAGTGAGTGGTTGAAGCTGGGGTTTGGGAAACCACGTCAGAGATGACAGCAGAAAGTTCAGCCTCATTGAATTCCTTTTATTAAAAAATATTTTTTTATCAGTAACATATAAAATTACACCCACAATTCCATCACTTAAATATAACTCTTGAGATAGCTTTAGCACTGTTTATTCTCTTGATCCAAACAGTCTCATAGTAATCTTTAATCTTAAAAGCAATTTTTATTCTACTTCCTTCTCTATAGTATTTTTTATGTAATTTATATAATTTCCTATTTCTATTTCATACACATATTTATTATTCTAAATATTGTTCATTAGAGTTCACACACTTCCTGTTGTACATTTAGGTTAATTAAAGTGTTTCAGCTTTTTAAAATATTGCTTTGAATAAGTTCTAGAAGTGGATCTTTTTACAGTGTTGGCTATATTCTGCCAAACTGCGCTCTCAAAAGTTGCTAGGAATTATATTGCTAGCAATGACTTCCCCCCACCATGGCCTTGTTTGTCAGAATTAGATTTTTATGACATATTTTTATTTCTGATGATATAGGTATAAAATTATATGCTATTGTTGCTTGTATAATATATTGTGGTATATAGTATGAAATTTCAATTTTATTTTTATCAATATTCAATATTATTCTAGAAACTTTCTGAAATAATTTTTAAAATATTGCATATTTATTTCATATTCAAATACTCCCTTTAGTTTGACAAAACTTTAGGTGTAACTGTTGATGGAAAACTAGAAACAAATCCAGAACTCTTTGGTAACTCCAATTATAGGTATTTCATTTTGAGAAAAAGAAAATAGCAAATTTTACCAAAAGATGGGGAAAAGAACATTAAAGAGATACTAATTTTCAGAAAGTTACTTCAGCATGATATGCAATATTACTGGACATTATATAAACTAATTTAGATAAATATAAGATACTTAATGTCAATTGATACTCTGTGAAGACATTTTAGAATATAATATTTTAGGTAATCTAAAATGCAACAAGTTAAATAAAATTCATTTTTAGTTATGAGAAATCTTTGCTTCTATTACAACTGTCAAATAAAAATAACAATATTTGTATTGTTTTTTCTTAAACTGAATATTTTATTGAGTCATTATTTAAGCCTTTTAATACTAATTATGTAATAAATCTATGATCTGGAAATTTGCAAAGCTGTATCTATATACATTATCATTTAATAATCTGAAACTACATGAAAGTTTGAAATAATTTTTTCTTTTTAAAAATACTAAGTCTATCGTTTATATCCATTTCTAAATTTTTTTTGCATTGACCTATAAGTTGCATTCTGAATCAGTACTGTATTTTCTATTTATTATGATTGTGTAACATATCCTAGTGTGTAGTCTGCCCTAAAACTACTTTAATATTTTTTCATATTTTATATATTTTGCAAATATATTTTTAAATAATTTTGAGTTATAGAAAGTACCTAATTGCTATTTTAATTGGAAAATTAGCTTATAAAATGACTTTCGGGAATTATTCTTTTTATGATACATTTAGTTAAACTGTCTTAATGTATGGGTTTCAATATCTTCGTGTCCTTATCTTTCAAATCATTTCTCCTTTTGAAGTTTTCTTTACATAGATCTGATATCTCATATTAATTATATGTTCTAATCTGTTAATAATATACATAGCATACCTAATGTTATCTACAAATAGTGATTATCTACAAATAATTAAAGTGTTCCTTTTTAATGTTTGTCATTTCCTTTTTATGTGTTGCTAATGATTCTTCCATCCAACATTAAGTATAACTGACAATGAACCAAACTTTTCATAGTTTCTGTTTTTAAGGGAAATTCCTCTAGCATGATATTGAATATTGATTCTTAAAACTACATACACTTTAACACATTAAGGGTTGCCTACTTTTTAAAGATTTTTATTTATAACATAAATATATGTAAAAATTCAAATATACCTGCTATGTGGACAATTATTTGATTGTTTCTATTTGATGTACCACTACATTATAGTGACAATTAAGTTTCTGTTTTTCTCTATTATTAATGAAGGTGTTTATGACAAAAAATGTATCTGATGAATACTGCTTTGGCTGCTACTCAAAGATTTTTATTTATAATCTCTTATATCCTTGGGTTTTTTAAAAATAATCTATTCTGAATTTGATTTCAGTATTAGGGGAATATTTAAAAATTTTTCTCTTTAAATAGAGTTTCTGTTCTATTTTATTATGATTAAAGAGCATGGTATGTACAGTAGCTACTTTTTAAATATTTGAACATCCTCCAAAGTTCTTGAGATATTTCTCTAAATAATTATCTGTTTTGACTATTTGCTTCTTATCATCATCACTTTTTTCTACTTTACTAATTATATTATTGACACTAATAATTTTTTTTTCTTTGCTAGATTGTTAATTTCCTAAGAGTAAAAAAACTTTTTTTAATTGTTGTTTAATCTAATCATTTCACTGCTGTCCACCTTTGGGTAGGTGGAAGGGGTACATAAGTTCATTGTTACTTTTTCCAAATCTTTAAGTTTCTAAGAGAAAGAAACCCTAACTATTGTAATAATAATAATGACAGTTGGGGTGAGGAGGGGAATTCAAGTCTTGTTCCCCACAGTTTGTTCGGATGTTCTGTGTCACTGCAATGGCATGGTTCCACATTCCTGGGATACTACCCACGTGGTTGTCTACCCTGTATCTTTCAGTTTATAAATCAAGACTGGGGTGCCTCTCTGTGATGTGATATGCAGTTTGCTCAGAGAGGAAAATCATGGGATGGGGTGAACGAACAGTGTGGTGCTTTTATAGGGGTGTCACGAGGAGTGTGCTCTGGTTAGTAAGCCCTTCTTTGAAGGGTTTATCACTTTAGCAAGAGCAACAACTTCAGGCAACTCCCAGGAATCATTATTTCTTCTAGTTGTCACTCATTCTGTCTATAAATATATTTATATTCTGATATTTTTCATGCCATTCTCCACATAGGAACCTGTTGATTTGCTTTCCAACTGACTGCCAACACTACATTCAGTGGTTTAGAAACTGGGTTTCCTGTAAATAGGTAACCCAGACCCCACGTGAAAAGGTTCTGCAGCTGTGTAAGTTTGGGAAATCTAACAGACTCACAATATATATTTGCATATAAAAAGCCCTAAAAATCCTACAGTAGAGAAACCTGCTTAACATTACCCAACGTTGTCCAAACTTCGCAGTAACAGAATTCCCTTCGAGGGACTATTACACGTGGAGCTAAGTTTTCTTAGGAGGCAATTTGGGAAATGATAAATTGTAGAAATAACAAGTAAAGTAGCCTGAGAAGTAATTGTGGATAAACTCAAATTTAAATTTTATTTTCATAGGGGTACTTGATATAGTACATGCTCATTGGTCCAATTCTTTGGACTGCTGAAAACATCCACTATGTTGGGACTTTATTACATGGGGCGACACATTTTTAATGGCTGCGGTGGATTGTGGGCCATTAATTTTGTGAGTTTCCTCGGGTCCCAAGTCAGAGTCTAAGTCACAGGTTGCCATTTATTTTCGGAATTAATTTACCCTAGAAGTTAAGAAAGAAAACCAAGAGTTCCAGACTTACAAGAGGTGAGGTGTTTGGGGAACCGGAGAAATCCTCAGACAAAGCATTAAGAAGGAAGTCGTCACTCATGGGCTGTAAGAACCAGGAAATGTAATCAACAAATACTGTCATTTGTCTCCTCTTCAAAATGATGTCACTGTTTACATGCTGATCAACTCAGTAAGAGGAAGGCTATGTCCTTCCTGAATTAACAACTAGGGCCAAAAGGAAGGAGATATACACTCAGAGAAAATTGGTTTGCTTACTGGAAGCTGTTCCTTGGACTCTTTTGGCAGGAGTGGTTTTCCATCTTTATCCTACGGGGGGGCGGCAAACATAACATTGAATCACTTCATATTCGATCCCAAGTATGAAACCTTGTAAACATGACAAAGGACTGACAGGTCATTCTTGCTGTTGTACAGTTTAGATTAGATTTACCATTTCAGGAAACAGATTCTCTCACCAGAGACTATTAATTAGTTCATGTCAACAAACAATCAGCTCATAAGTACCAGGCATTCCCCCAAGGCACAGGGGCTGCACACCAGATTAGGCATGGTTTGTGACCTCACAAACCCAGAGACTAGCAACTGGCACAGGGGAAAAATAGGTGAACGGTCAAGGTCATGTGGTATGCGGTGCCGTGACCACGGTTTGTGGGACAGTGTGAGGTGAGCTCTCACCTACGTGGGGATGAGATTTGCAGAGGCTGCTCGGAAAACACTGGTTAACTTTATAAGCCACACATCTAACTAACATGCATGAAGTACATGCCAAGCCCTAGGTACTGGGAATACAACAGAAAGTAGCACAGACGAAGCCCCTGGCCTCAGAGAGTTTACCTTACAGGCAAGACACTCTGAAACTCACAGCTCAGATATGTCAAGCTTTAAATGACCCTAAGTGCCACTTTTGAGTAATAGGACAAAACTGATACAGCACTTGGGGCTCTTTAGTAAAAGAAGATATATTAGTTAATAGTAAATCCTATGTACACACATACACAAAAATAAGCAAGCATAAGGATATATTAATATATGTGAATATTTCTGAGAAACTGATTAAGGTTGGTTTTTATTTGTTTTGTTTAAAACGTGAGGTGCAATGGTTTAGAGGTACAAGTTGCACATCACTAATCTGAAAACCTGAAATCCAAGATGCTTCAAAATTTGTAATTTTTTGAGCATTGACATGACACTCAAAAGGACACACTCATTGGAGCATTTTGGATTTTTGGATTACGGATGCTCAGCAAATATAATGCAAACATTCCAAAATCCAAAAATATCTGAAATCTAAAACGCTTCTGGTCCCAAGCATTTCAGATAAGAGATACTCAACCTGTATCCCTCATGAGTGACATAAACCTGCTTCCCTCATGAGTGACATAAACCTGCTTCCCTCATGAGTGACATAAACCCCTTTCCCTGTTTCCCATCTCCTCTGCAGTCCACCTCTACACTCTCACCTTTCTTTAGGTAGAAGGGAAAGCAGAACCTGGGCTTGTTCTCCACCACCCATTAGGGGCAAAGGCAGCAAATTTCCCCAGTGATGTATGGGACCCTGGAAACACTTTTGCTCCACACTCAAAGTGAAGTCAATTTTCTATCACTGCATCATCACATGTCTGGAAGGGGAAGCTTGTGGCCTCCCCTCAGGGAGCTGAATCTCCCAATGAGAATGTAGTAGACAAATAGCAACACAGGGTTTAAATAATAGATGAAGCCAGCATCTGAAAATGCTCTATGGCAATAGGTAACAATGTGTGAGACAAACAAGTTCAGAGGAGGATGAGAGTACCACAGAATAAAATGGTTGGGGAAAGCTGAGCATCTGCTTCCTTAAACACTACTACTAAAAGTCAGCAAAGAGAGAAAGAAGAAGCAACCACCCAATCATTTCTATGGACAGAGTCCTCTGCGCTTGACCAGTCTCCACTGGAGGAATAAGTCAGTGGAGGCAGAGCATGTGTCCCTTAAGATGCTCTCTAACAACTTGGAAAAGCAACATAGGAGCAAACCCAAATTAATAGAAGTGCCATGGTTTCAACTGAATTGGGAAATACAGAAAGGAAGAAGAATAAAGATACCCAGAATAATACACTTTCAATCAAGGAGAGCTCAGTATAGTTCCTGTGCTTACCATATAAATGGACTAGTGCATATGGATGAGTAAAGAGTATGCATTTGATTTTCTGGAATTATTAATGAAATTTAGTTGAAGATTCTTTTAAGTAGTGATATGTTACGAAGATGACTGACATTTGTTCCATTGTCCATGCATCTACCCCATATAAGTGACTGCATTTAAACTACAAGATTCATAATGGGGTCTTCCCCTCCTCTGTTACTCATCTTGTACAACCTATACTTTCAAAATAAAGGAAATGGGCCAACTTGCCACTTTACTCAATGTTAAACAGGCTGTCTTATTTTTCTAACTTACATCTAAGAGTTACATATTTTTTCTCATAGAAAATAATTGCTCCTCTAGTCTCTTTAATAAATGGTGGGGGAAAACCGGCTACCCATATATAGAAGAATGAATATATACCCATATATAGAAGAATGAAACTAGACCCCCACCTTTCACCCTATACAAAAATCAACTCAAAATTGATCAAAGAACTAAATGTAAGGCTCTAAACTATAAAACTACTAGAAAAAAAAATAGAAGAAATGTCTCAGGATTTTGGTCTGGGAAAAGGTTTTATAAATAAGACCCAAAAGTATGGGTAACAAAAGCAAAAATAAACAAATGGGATTATATCAAACTAAAAATCTTCTGCACAGCAAAGGAAACAATCAACAGAGTGAAAAGACAGCCTACAGAATGGAAGAAAATATTTGGAAAGTACTCATCTGACAGGATATTAATTCTAGAATATATAAGGAACTCAACAGAAAAAATCCAAAAAGAAAAAATCCAAACAATTGGATTGAAAAAAGGCAAATGATCTGAACAGACATTTCTCAAAAGAAGACAGACAAATGGCCAACGAATATATGAAAAAATGCTCATCATCAATCATCAGGGAAATACAAATCAAAGCCACAGTGAGGTATCATTTCACTTTAGTTAGGACGGCTATTATAAAAAAGATAAACAATAAAAGAATGTTGGCAAGGATGCAGAGAAAAGAGAGCTCTCACAACACTATTAGTGGGGATGCAAATTTGTACAGCCACTATGGAGAACAGTATGCAGATTACTCAAAAAACTTAAAATAGAACTACCATATGATGATCCAGCAAACCCAGTACTGGGTATTTGTCCAAAAGAAAGGAAATCAGTATATCAGAGAGACACTTGCACCCTCGTGTTTATTATAGCACTATTCACAATAGCCAAGATTTGGAATCAACCAACGTGTACAACAGATAACTGGATTAAAAAATATTATTCAGCCATACAAAAGAATGAAATCCTGCCATCTGCAGCAAGATGGATGGAACTGGAGGACATTATGTTAAGTGAAATAAGCCAGGAACATAAAGTTAAACACTGCATATTCTTACTCATATGTGGAAGCTAAAAAAAAAAAAGCCAATCTCATAGAAGTAAAAAGTAGAACAGAGGATTTAGAAACTGGGAAGGGTTGGGAGAAGGGAGGGATAGGGAGAGATTTGTTAAAGGATACAAAATTATAGCTAGATACAAAGAATAAACTTCTATACCACTGCAGGATCACTATAGCTAATAATACATAGTTTCAAATAGTTAGAAGGAAGATATTGAATGTTCCCAACACAAAGAAATGATAAATGTTTCAGATGATGGATGTGCTGATTACCCTGATCTGATCACTATACATTATATGTATCAAAACATCATCATGTACTCCATGAATGTGCACAATTATTTGTCAACTAAATTGAATTAAAGCAATATAAAAAAGTAAATAATTGTTCCTCATTTTAGTTTTCCTATCTATCCAAGGTTTTTTATATTTCTGGTATTGTTCACTGCTAGTTAGAAGGGAAAACATTAGATAGCTTAGGTATTCGATTTCTTTCACTAAACGGAGGATTGAAAGGCCACTTATGAATATTATAGTTCCATATCTGGTGTTCTAACATGATTATTAGTGGACTGATACTATTTGGTGTTTGAGATATTAAGAAACAAGATCTTTATATTCCAGGTCTATTCCCATGTCCCTTCTTTATGTACATGAAATTCAGTAAGAATTAAAATCAAATAGAAAAACACTCTAGCCTGTTTACCTTGACTTCTTCTAATCTATAATCAGGAGGAATTGTTTCTTCTTTTTCGCCAAGTTTTTCACGGTCTTCTTCTGTGGCTTTATCCTGCATAAAAATGACATCATTTTCATCGTTAATCTATCTGTTTCCCCATCCAATGGATGCCTGGGTGACTAAATTTGAGGTAAACAAATCTATCATCAGGTTAGGACATACATATTGCCATATGTTTACAGTTCCTACAGCGACTGCATCCTAGTTTGGCAGATACAGACACCACCACAAGCCTGCTGGGCTGAACGGCAGCTGTAAAGAGTGGCAGGCAGCTGTCACTTCTCTCCCGGGTCCTAAGCAAACCCCACCACGCAGGCAGACAAAGGTGAGACTCAGAGACTTCTGAAATGCACATGCTATCCCACCACTGTGGCGGTTACACACTGGTGCTTACTCAGGTTTAGCTCATTACTCAGGTTTAGCTCATTAAAGGCTATGCACGATAATAGAGAAAGCCTGCTGGTCGGTCATGTTTTGTGGGAAATATTTTAAAAACCCAAATGACTAACTTATTTGTTGGGGGCAGGGAGAGGATGATCAATGATAGCTATTTTCTAGAAGTATGTGAGTTGCCATTACCTTGACTTTGTCTATCATAGGTTTTCCATCTTCTGGATCTGCTTCCCTTTCTCCTAGGCTACCAGCCAAGGCTTCTACAGCGTCATCCGGCACCGTGCCCTGCTGAAAGTACATCAGGGCACATACTAAGGAGGTGGTTAATCGCTCCTTCTAGAACAGACTCTATCAAACAATTCACAAAGGCAAATCCTCATCTCAGATAAGAAGCACGCAGCATCTTTTATTAATAATAATCTGAGTGATCAATCAAATTAGAATCTATGTTTAAAAAACTTAAAATGTTAACAATCAGAGCCAGTTTCTCATATTAAACATTACGTATGCACCACTTATCTGTTGACACTGAGAAACTTACAAGATCTAACCCGGAGTTTTGGGTTAGAAATAAGAAAGGCAACGGAAAGAGAACCACAGAGACACTGCAAGCCAGGAAAGAAGACAGACATGATATTTATGAGATCACTCCCCAGGTGGCGCAGGAAAGATTTCCAGAGACATTCTTCCCCATTTTCTGAGAGGCAGCCAGGCCTGTCTTAGAGGCAGCGGTTTGGGTAGAGCCCCTATCGAGGGGACAGAAACGTGTTTTCTCCATGGGGCTTCTACTGGTCAAAGTGGATTCAAGGCTGCTTCAGGTAACTCTGCCTGTGATTGACTAACCCGAGTGGCACAATGAGAACTGTCACCTGTGATCCAGTGGTTCAAAATGAAACGTGCTCCCTCATGATGTAACGAACTCTGGCCACGCTGGTGTTTAAAATGAAACTGGATGAACACACAGCATAAATGGTGCAAAGGGAAAATGAAGGAGAAGTCACGTTTGGGCTAAAAGGACTAGAGCTGGCTTTTCCAAACTATAGGACATGATGTGCACATTAGTGGCTCATAAAAATAAATTTAACTGTAATGGAACTTTTTTTTAATGAAAAGAATAGAAAATGGAATGCATCATACATAACGGGTATAAGTACCATTCTTTAAGCTGTTGTTTTCATTGTATGGGTACTGGTTGTAGTACTAATGAAATTTCCTACTTTTGGCCTTGGTCAAACAAAAGTGTGAAAGCTCTTGGATTAAACAAGTCTCAGAGTTTCATTGTATTATAAAAATCTCTGACATCATATTGAGTATCTGTTGGAGTTTTAGAGTAAAATATCTTTCTGTTTTATATATCTTAGCCCCCATTTCAAGAAAAACAGTGTTTCTGCTAAGCTGCACTGCAAAACGAAAAGATGAGCGAGCCTAAGAGGAAAGTGATTTACTGCCACCTAGTGGCTGGACACCACATGAATTTTATTCCCAGGAGCAACAAAAAAATCCCTGATGTATCTAACCTGTTGGGAATTATACTGAAACTAATATTAAGAGTTTTAACATTTCTATCAAGAATTACGCTGGTACCCAAGGCTTATCCAGGCAATATGGGTTGCTACCTGATTTTAGACACCTATTCACACTTTAATTCTGTTTTCCTATACTCTGCTGTCAGTCTTTGGAGAACTACTGCTTCCCAATCCTGTGTTCTTTGCCAATCTCTGGTTTAAGAAATTAATGAAACAGAGTTAAAGACAAGCTAGGAGAAGAAGCAGTTTTAAGAACTGCTTTTAAGATTTAAGGAATCTGCAAACAAGACTAAGGACTAAAACTTCATTTCTGTAGTACTTCAAGTTGTCAAATGCAGAACTAGAACTCGGGTCTCTGGGTTTCCTCAATAAATGTTCTTTCTATCCACACAAGAACCACCCAGAGCTCACGTGCATTTCCTCTTCCTGGTTTGTTTTCCTTTACTCACTAATCTCCATACCTTTCTTGAGTCTTCTTACCTTTATCACATTCCACAGCTATTCTTTCTGGCTCTGAAGGATGTCACCATCCCAGAAATCCCAACTGCCTCAGTGATGGCAACCTTAGCAACTGTGGCCAGAGTTGGTGGTATAGATGCCCAAGACAGGTGGTCAGGGAAGGAAAAACAAGAGTTTTTTTTTTTTTTTTTGGGGGGGGGGTGTCCACTAAAAATATAATGCTCAACTCTCCATAGTCAGGGTAAAACTGGAAAGGAACTGACTGAGCCCCTGAAGGCCTGGCAGTGACATTTGGCAGATGTGGAAGGTTTGGGCCACGAGAGGTCTATTCTGAAATACTGAAAATATTTTTTATCCCAATGGCTGTCTCTGTTCCTGCTTTCTTAACTGGACCCTTCTCTACTGTGGCCTGGCGCTCACAAAGTAAAAGTTTCTGGAGAGCGTCCTGAAGCATCATAAAAAGGTGGTGGGGGTGGGGTCCTCGGGTCCTAAGACAAGAGGGAGACTTGGACTCAGGATTTGCAGTTGGCAGCAAGGACTTCCCTGGCAGGAGACTGTTATTTCACGGCACCCAAGGCACCTGGGCTGTGCCTCTTCTCAAACAACTGAATGCATATCCCAAATTCACAGAGAGCGCTGCATTCCTGTGTTGGTCTGTCCTTGGCTCATTGGTCTTCCTGGAAAAATGGTGCTATTTCTACTTCTCAGTGTGATCCTGCCCTCCACCTGCAAGCCTTTGGTAATTCACACTGGAGTGTGGCTCCATTGCCCATGTTCCCCGAGTCATTTTTCCATATGGGAATGAGCATATTGTACTCATAAGCTTGAGATCTGGCCACGTCCACACTAGGCTCGAAAGGGAGCTGAGAGCAGGGGTCATATCTTTCATCTCAGATGAGGCTCTGAAAGGTTAAGTGGGTTGTTCAAGGTCAACTTGAAGCCTCATTTCCCTCATCCACAATAGGAAGATGATCAGAACAGACCTTCATAGTGTCCTTGTGAAAATTTAATGAGAAGATATTGCGAAGCATCTAGAACAATTGCATAGCAGATGCTGAAAGTTAGCTATTCACAGTGTAGATTTACTATGTCTATAGTAATGAAATATATTTCTATTGGAGGTTATTCTCCGAGTCAGATTCTATCATTAGCTAATGGAAATAAAACCCATGGAAATCAAAAGGAAACAAAGATTCGCCTAGTTAAATATCATATTTCATGCAAAGAAAGTGAGAGGGAGGCAAGAAATGAAGAAGGAAAGGGAAAGAAATTGAGCCAGTCTCCCCTCTTTTAGTTGGGAGAGTGGGAAGGAATCATGATTTTGATGCAAAGTATTCCACCAGGAAAGTCAGTAAAAGGTAACATCATCCTGCTGCCTGTGGATCTCTGGATAGGCTTAAAAGATGCAGGAAAGTGAAAAAGCAGGATTCTCCATGACAGCTGGGGAACTGGAAGGAATCTCAGAAGATGAAAGAAAAACACAGGCTGCTGCAATTTAATTAAAAATTTAAATTTAGTCCGAATTTCTAGCACACCCCTGAGACCCGAAGAACAATAGATACTATAGCTATATCACACTTATTTTTATTTTGGAAGAATTAAAAAAAAAAAAAAAGATGGTAAAATACAGCAGCAAGTGATGAGAAGAACAGAACTTTCTCAAGACATTGTTTAATGCCCAGGGAGTCACTCACCGGGGCGGCAGCTGGCTCGGCCGGCGCTGCCTGTACGCTGCACATGGATTTCCGAGGCACGGCCTCTGCCACAGGAGCTGGGGCAGCGGCCTTAGATTTCTGAGGAAAGAAGCAGGTACTTTGAATAACTCTAGAAATACACATTCAATAATACTGAACAATGATGGACCAACAGGACACTGCTATATTATATGCTGTGAGCATGATTTCCTGGAATGCCAATGTTGAGTTGGTTGGAATGTTGAGTAGTAAATAAGTCAAGGCATATTAAAACTCTTTAGCTACCATTACTTCAACTTGGTTTTCTCTATCACCTTAGGTAGGTTACTTAAGCTCTTCTGAGACTCAGTTTCCTCATCTGTAAAATGAAAACAATGATAGTTGTGAGCATGTATTCTGTGAGCCATGATTTTCTAGAATGCCAAAGGACTGTTGAGCAGTAAATAAGTCAAGGCATATTAAATCTCTTCAGCTACCATTATTTCAACTTGGTTTTCTCTCTCACCTTAGGTAGGTTACTTAAGCTCTCTGAGACTCAGTTTCCTCATCTGGAAAACGAGAACAATGATAGTACCTACATCTCAAGGGTTGATATGGGACTTAAATGAGATAATGCATAGAAAGTACTATGCGTAGCACCTGGGAACTGTATACTTAATACATTGCTCAATACAATAACAAATGTATTGCTCAATACATTTGAGCAATCGTGGCTATTATTTATAAATGAATTTGTCATATATGACAATAAAATGTACCTATTATATAACACAACATGGTATCATATAAAATGATACAAAATGTAAGATCACATGATAAATTATAAATATCTCTGTTTAAATGCAAGGTAGTAACATTATACCAGAGGTTCTAAAAGTGTGGTCCCTGGACTGATAGCTGCAGCACCACCAGGGTACTTAAAAATGCATATTCTTGGGCCCCCAGCCCAATGTACTAGCCAGAAATTCTGGGGGTGGAGTCTAGCAATCCGTGTTTTAACAAAGCCTCCAGGTGATCCTGGTACATGCTAAAGTTTGAGAACCACTGTACTATCTTATCACAAGAGTAAAATTTCAAACAAATTTCTGGATTTAATTATTTTAAATCCAGACATTTTTGGAGTCCTGTCCTAATATGCAAGGTGCTCAAGCAATGATCATTTTTAATAGGGTATTATCTCTTCTATCAGGGAACTTACTATCTATTAAAAACTAAGTATAAATGTTAGAGTTGAAGAAAGACCAATATAGCTAAAAACTTGTTTGTAACAAATGCTTTAACAGAAGCAAGGATGAAAAGGAAAGCATGGATTCAAAGGGCTTTCCTGAAGAAATAATTTCAGGACACAATTTTGCAAGAATATCAGGGCTAGCTTAGGGAAAGAAAGCACATCCAAAAGTCAAGACCAAAAGTGCATGTAAAAACAAGATGGCATATTGGGCTTTTTAAAAATCAACTGCTACATGCTAAAATAGTTCTGGTATCACATTTTTTTTTAAGATTACACAAAAACGTTAAAACATCCCTTAAAACTGGAGGTTTATTTTTTGGAAACATACTTTTGTTTTTTCAGTTGGCTTAGATTGTTTCTCTTTACATTTAGACCGGTCAAAATCTTCTGAAAGTTCATCAATGAGTTCTGATTCACTCAGGAGCTGTAATATAAGAAACACTGTATATTATGAAGTGACTATTTTCACTCTCTTAAAAAAAAGTTTTCATAGAGCAAAGTTTTTTTTTCTGCTCAACACATGAGGCCATGCTTTAGAATCTAAAACCAGAGGCTAATTTATAGAGACATACTTTTCATCTATCAACATAAGATTAAAATGTCATGCAACAACAAATAAGGAATTCCAAACACCTCAATATCACAAAAGTGTTAATGTTTTATTTAGTCAAAAGTTTTCCTAATACTTCAATTTCAGAAGAATTTTGTCCCAATACAATTGCCTGTTCTCTCCCATGAAGATATGTATCATTTTTTAATGTGATTGTTGATTTCCTATTTCCCAATGACTTCCCTTCTGAGTAAGTCAGAGAAAACATAGATCACATACTCCTTTCTTATGACTACCTGGGTTTGTGGCAGGAACGTTCTGCTGTCCCTAGTTCTTTCAGGGTAGGTGGGATTATTTGTTTAGGGTATGTGGCAATTATGACTCATAACAGTAACCTGTGCTAGATGGGCATGCGATTCAGAAGCAGGGCCCTAGCACTGGACAGGCTGAGTTCTAAGTCCTGGCCTTGCTTTTTTTAGCTGTGTGACGTTGGCCTATTTACATAAGCCCTCTGTGCCTCAGTTTCCTCACTGTAAAATGGGAACATTAACAGTGCCTTCACTCAGGGCAGGCTCAAAAACATAATATTTAAAAAAAAAAAGATAATATTCAAAAAGCATTTGGTCAGACACATAATCAGTGACTAATAAATGTTGCTGATTAGTAATATGACATGGCTGCTACCAACTTAAGTAAAGGCAATATAGAATCATTAATTAGAGTATTTCATCAGGATCAAACTCTAAGAGCTAGCTTAATTAAATTGAAGGACCCTCTTGACATCAGCTTCTAGAGTTCAATGAATGTTACCTAGAGACTCACAGTATAGTAATTCATGAGGAAAATCATCATTACAATATCTGAAAAGGATTCATAGGTTTCAGCCAAGTGTTACCATCGGAAGTTCCCCTGTCCTCAATACTAGGTTGGCATGAGAGTCTGCACAGTGAAATCTGGTTTGTCAAAATTACCCCGATTTATACTCTATATTTCTATCATTTCTTAAGTATCAGAAAAAAACTTATTTTCCTACCTTGGATTTTTCTTCAGGCTCTGGCAATAGTGGTTTCCCATCTTTATCCTGTAAGTAAAATTGAAAATTCAATGGAAATGAAAGAGAAAGTTTTTCTTTTCATGTTTCAAGTTTGTTTTTTGGAATTCTAGGATAGGAGAGATCAGCTTATTTTTTCTTATATTTGAGCGAATTTCTTTCAGATTTACTTTTTATAAAGCATCAGAATAAGGAGTTGAGCTGTAAAAATCAAGATGTTACCAAATATGATGCATTTTTACTTTTCTTTAAAAGTTACTGAAAAAAATATATTTTCCATCCATTGCATAGGGCAATAGGAAAACAAAATTTCTCTGGCAAGAAAGGTACAGCTATGTAAATGAAAGATTTTTTAAAAGTCTCAATTCTCCAACCCAGGGTAAAGAAATAGTTACCATTTCTATAACACTGTTTGGTTCTTCAGATATAAAGTTTCACAATTTAGAATACTTATAAAAATGAGAAACTTTTCATATATAAGCATATATAAGAATTACAACTATTTCCCATCGTGTGCTTATATGTATGATTTCAAAAATAAATTGCAAATGTAATAACAGGAGTTATGCTGCCATCCTAATCACAAATCAAAACTAACAACAAAACCACCCAGACGATACTGGTAAACTGTCAGACATTTATATCTACCACTTAGAAGATCTATGGTGCTTTTATCCATATAACAGTTAGAAAAATAAATATTCCCAAATTGTTTCTTCTGCTTTAAGTTAAAGCATTATTAACAGCTGAAACACTTGAATTTTTTTTTTTTTTTTTTTTTTTGAGACAGAGTCTCGCTTTGTTGCACAGGCTAGAGTGCCGTGGCGTCAGCCTAGCTCACAGCAACCTCCTGGGCTCAAGCTCAAACTCCTGGGCTCAAGCAATCCTGCTACCTCAGCCTCCCAAGTAGCTGGGACTACAGGCATGCGCCACCATGCCTGGCTAATTTTTTTCTATATATATTAGTTGGCCAATTAATTTCTTTCTATTTATAGTAGAGACACGGTCTCGCTCTTGCTCAGGCTGGTTTCGAACTCCTGACCTGGAGCAATCCACCCGCCTCGGCCTCCCAGAGTGCTAGGATTACAGGCGTGAGCCACCTCGCCCGGCCAATTTTTGGAAAGTTTAATGATCACACGGTCACTCCTGAGGTAGCCGGGCAGATATAAACCATCTCTCAAGGGGTCAAACTGCAGAAAGCAGAGAAGAAAGTGTTCCGGGGTTTTCAGAGTTAATATCTGAACTAGGACAGATGTGTCCTTAGAGTCAAAGGTATGGAAATGAAACACAACCTGAAGGCAAGATGCTGTGGTTGTTCAATGTGGCTAAAAAATTTACCGTGGCTGGTTCTAATCTGTACTCTGGTGGGACTGTCTCATCATCCTCACCACACTTCTCTAGTTTTTCTTCATTAGCTTTTGCCTGATGGAGGTAGGAAAAGAAAAAAAGGCAGTCAGATAATGCATGTAAAATGAAACAATATCACTTTGTCTATGTACTTCCGGAGTGTTGTAGACAAGACCAAATCCGGTAAAGGTGTCTAGAAGAGCTCTGTAAACCCCAAAGGACAAGACCATGGTGGCCAGCTATGAAAAAGCCATCATGGGGTAACTGGAAAACCAGTCCAGCCAGGGATCCTGGGGGGCTGTCCTGCTCTGCCCCCAGGTTCTGTGACCTTGGGAAGCCACTTAGCCTGTCTTTGGTCCAGTTTCTTCAGCTGTAAAATGTAGCTACTAATAATCCTCATCTGGCTCACTGCCCTGTGAGGGTCACCAGAGAAAAGTAGAGCTCCTTTGAAGACAGTCAGCACAGTGCAGCATTAGTGGCAATTATGTTAATAGCCTTCATCTGTTTGACTCAATAAGCTAGCCCCTCTAAGGAAGGGAGAAGGAACACAACCAGTTCTCACATGAAGCCCAGTTCAGAAATGGGAGAAGGATCCCATCATACATCTTGGCTGATGATTGATTTTACCTCTTTTAAATAATACCTCTTCAATAACACCAGAACTGCACTGGCTTACTGAATCTTGGACAACCAACTGTGTTACAAATAAGACTGTAGTTCTGTATAGCTGACTCTAGGATACTACATTTACAATTTAAACTACTGGTGAGTAGGGGGAAGTTCCATAATATAAAATAATTTGTACCTATATCACGGCGTGGATTTAATTTACAAACCAAGGGGGGGGGTCACCTAGCAAATCCTAACTCAACCCACACTGCTCCCATCTGTACCTCAGCCTAAGACTGCAGTTCTCCATTGATTGATTAGTGGATTGATTAATTTAAAACATACTTATTATAGCACATCTTATATTTTCCTGGTTAGAGCTGGAACCCATACTATTAAGTGAAGTTTCCCAAGAATGGAAAAACAAGCACCACATATACTCACCAGCAAATTGGTATTAACTGAGCAGCACCTAAGTGGTCACATAGGTACTGCAGTAATAGGGTATTGGGCAGGGGGGAGGGGGGAGGGAGGCGGGTATATACATACATAATGAGTGAGATGTGCACCATCTGGGGGATGGTCATGCTGGAGACTCAGACTTTTGGGGGGAGGGGGGGAAATGGGCATTTATTGAAACCTTAAAATCTGTACCCCCATAATATGCCAAAATAAAAAAAAAATGTAAAAAAAAAAAAAAAAAAAAAAACCCCATACTTATTGAACATATTTAATGAGCTCAGAACTGTTCTAGGCTTTGGAATTAATTTCATTTTTTATAGATTTCCATTAAGGAATGAAATCACGATTTTTTTAAAAGAATATTTCTAGTTATATTCTCCTGCAGCCTATGGAAGAAGTCTTCTTATGTAGCAGCACTTCCCAATCCAGGGATTTGTGAGGTCTCCGGTTACAACACGGTCATCATAGGTCACCTGTATTAAATCTGTCCTCCCCACCACACACAGGCTTGTGGACAGCAAGAGCTACACACATAGCTAGAGCCTTTCTTTTCCTCTTTGATTTTCATATTCTTGAAATGCCTGTACTGTGGGTTTATATAAGGTAAGCATTAAAAAAAATTCTACTGAATTGAAATAGCCCTGGACTAGGCGACCACATCTAAAAATGGGGAGATATATAATGAGGTATAATTGCAGAATAAAAAACTTTTATGTTATGATAGATTATGATATCAAGGAGGCATAGGGCTCTTCCCTGAAGTATCACGTGGTTTTGCATATAGAGAGCTCTGCAGTGGACACCCCTACAGGATGACAGCGACTTTCCTGAATCTTATCAATACACCAGAATATCTGGGGTGGAAAGAACTCACCATTGGGTAACTAAGAATTCAGCTCAAGACTCTAGGGACTTGAAAGACCTTAGGCAATATTTATATCCTGTTCATAATTAAAAAGGAAAACCAGTGTGTCCTAAGAGTGGAAAAGACAAGTTCTTTTTGCTGGAATTTTAGTTTACTGCTGCTCTGAGGTTTTCTAGAAGAAATTGAATACATTCACACGCATCTCCAAACTGGTTACCCACCTGCTTACTAAGCTATTTTTATGTCACTTTTTCACATCGATTTATCTGATTTTAGTCACTCAAGACTCTTTTGATCCTGGGATTTATAACTTGTTTATACCTTCCGTCCCCACATTTATCATCTTATTAAATCACCATAATTATCTATAAAAAGCCTGGAGGGCAAAAGTGCAATTCACTTGTGGCCATGTGCCCCCCCCCAGGTGGGGGAACCACAACTCAACTTGGCTTCCCAACCTCCCCCCAGGTTTGCCCAAGACCACCCTTTTCCTCAAGGTGACATTACTTCTATCTGGCTACTCCAAGTAATGTACACCTCACATTGTGCTGTACTGACAGTTTCCTTTCTTCTCAATACATTACTTGGTCCTGCAGGATAGGGACAGTTTCTCCTGCTCCCCCGAGATCGCCGTCACAAGGCTTCTCACGCCACACTGTGGCCGGTGAGCCCTCAAAGTAAGTTGAAGATAAAAATTGGCCCATCTTGGACCAGGACAGTCCCAGACTTGCGGGGAGTTGCTGGGAGTCAGGGACATTCCCCTCCCCTGACGACTCGGAACAGGAAGTGACATCAGAGACAGGGCATTGTGACAGTGACACCTGCCAGCTCCCCTCCCCTGAGCTGAGCTGGGGGAGGGGTCCTGGGGATCCCAGGGGCCTTTCCGTCTCTCCCCACGACACTGCCTTGTCAGCAACAGGCAACTCTCTCCTTTCCTTCCTCTTTTCCCCCAGAGGACCAAGTTGAAAGGTTCTACAAAAATAACAATTTAACATGGAAGCTCTCCTACACCAGACACATCCTTGCTTTTGCAAGAAGGCTTGTTAAGATCTTGAAGTACGGTGGGATAAATACCATCATCAGGAGCTCCAGTTACAGAGTTGTTGCTGCTTGATTTTATTCTAATTTGACACACATTTTTGACATCTTCCCTCATAGTTAAAAAAAAAAAAAAAAAGCATCTTCCCATCCCTTGTGTGGCCATCTCCCATTCGCCTTTTAAAGAGAAACACCCCAAAGCCTTCTGAAAATACAAAACTTCCACGACAGCAGACAAATCTCACTATTTCTCACCAGGCCACAGCCTCTTTGTTATCTTGTTTAGTCAGGTGCCATTTAAGCTTTGGCAAAGGAGATCGGTGTTCATTTTAAATACAAAAATTCAAGATGTTTCATAAGACAAACACTCAACTATCTCTCTTGGTTGCTAACTGTGCAGCAATAAATATCTAAATGAACCACACTCTGAAAGTAAGGCAGAATGAAGAGCAGTTCATTTTCAATCTCCAATAAGAGAAAAGGTGTGCAAGAATTCTTAACATGTAGAACGCATTCAGTTTTGCAGCCTGCAGACTAACATGCTCTGTACATCAACTCCAAGGTCAGTACCTCATCGACTTCCTTAAGAGAGCTGAGGTCGAGCTCAGGTTCTGGTTTCCGGGTGCCCAGTGAAGCTGACAGAGCCTCGAGTGCTTGATCGCTCATCGTATCCTGTTGAAAATGAGAAATTCTGTGCATGAAAAGAGAGAACATCTCTGGAAGCTGAACAATCCACACTTACTTCTTTGTGAAATATACATTTTAAATTCATAAGTTAAATTATAGACTGGGAAAGTACTTTAGGAAGACAATTTTACTTGAAATATTGCAAAAGAGAGAAAGGAAAAAGAACTTACCAATAAATGAAAATTGTATAGGAACAGTGTTCTCTGGGGTACACCTCACCTCTTATTTAGCAAGCCAGAAATATAACTATAATAATGAGGTTATAAAATATTCTTAGCAAAATAAAAGCTACCAGTAGTAAACTCTCACTACCCTGCTTTTACTTTTTCTAAAAATTCATCTTTAAAAATGGCTTCTGACAACCCCTGTCTTTTAGCAAAACAGGTAAGCCCAGGAAGCAGGGAAACGTGAAGTGGTCCGGCTGCCTTCTTCCGTAAAGGTACAGTGGCTGATCGTTGTAGGAACTCCCATTCGTGGGGTGTGGCACTCACCACTGTTCCCCCAGCCAGCCAGATAAAAGTAAACTCTCCACCCCAGGAGGAGGGAGGCAGCAGCAACTCTGATAGAAACTGCTCCTTAGCACTATCTTGACTGCAGATGAGACATGTTTTCTCATCCAGCCCACACACAGATCCGCCTTTTCAGGATTTGTGAGAATCAAGCCCTAGTTGATTGTGGTTAAGAGAAGTGACAGAAGCAGCTACAATAGCATCGCTCTAGTGATTCACAGGGATCAAACTCTTTCAGGAAATCAAACTCGAAGATTTTATATTTCAAGAATACAATTTCTCTGGTTTTTGCCCTTCTGTGTATCGTAATGGTGAGATGGTTTTGGATCATGACCAAGAAGACTGTGCTAAAAATCATTCATAAGCATTTGTAGAAACACACAGGCTTGCCTGGAGATGGTAAATATAACCCTCATGGGCTTCACTATTCCACGTAGACCCAAAGGGAGAAAAGATCATGGCTTCTCATGGGGAATGCACTATTGGGATTATCCCGAATGAGCTAGATCAGGTAGTCTGTAGTTATTTTCAAAGAAGACATTATTTGTACCTCCTCCACCTTTCTTTTCTTCTCCTGGGGTGGAGCAGCACTTCTGATTGTCCCTGCTGACTGAGCTTTTAAAACCTCTCCTGTAGATTTCTGAAAAATAAAATACAAAGGATTAGATTTACAGATGGAGAAAATTTAACTGTAATAACCAGAACCAAAACAGTTGTACTGTTATTCTTTTAAAGTTCAAAATAGTTCCTAACAAGTTCTCCTTAATAATACCAAAACAATACCTCTTTTTCAGTTTTCTTTCCATCTGCAGTAGGAGAGCTACAGGTGAAGTCAGATGACAAGGAGTCTATAGCATCATCTGGCCCCATGGGTTTCTAAAGAAACAGGCATGATGATGGGTAACACAAGAAAGTCACTCAACTGAAAGAACAGATTATAAACCCAGCAAAAGAAGAATGCACTTTTGCAAATCCTTTGCTACCAAATGAGATATGTTAATGAAATAACTTAGATCAAAGCCTATATTTTGAAAAGAACGGGTATTTAATAAGCATTATTTTCTTCTTCTAAATACTCTTCTAAAGGTATTGCATGCTAGGATATTTTCATCCTATTGTTATAAACTGTTTCTTATCCTAATACTTTCTTGCCTTCATTCTCCTTCCCCTCAAAACAAAACTACACAGACACTAAGGATCACTAAGACAACCCCCACACCAACCCCCTTTCTCTGAACAGACAGAAACTCTGATTTGGAGATTGGTTAAATCATAATCCTCAAAGAATTGATAGCCCTGTTCTACTAGCCAAAGCTATAATAAAAAGTTAATTTAGATCTTAGAAGACATTTATATAAACTCACCGAAGAGTCTGGAGGAGGGCCTGTGATCCCTTCATTTTTCTGAAACAAATATTAATTTGGTGATGTTGAGAAGGCAAAATTCATCCATATGATCAGCAAAATGTATTGCTCACTATGTTGTGAGGTTGCACTGTGTCCCCTGTCCCCAATTCGTACATTGAAGTCCTAACCCCTAGGTATCTGAGGAGACCTTATTTGGAGACAGGGTTTTTATAGAATTAATCAAGGAAAGGTGAGATCATGAGGGTGGGTCCTAATCCAACATGCTGATGTCCTAATAAAAAGGGGGAATTTGGACCCAGAGATAGGCAGAGAGGGAAGACGACATGAAGAGAACAGGGAGAAGATGGCCAACTACAAGCCAAGCAGAGAGGCCTAGAAGAGACTTTTCCCTCACAGCCCTCAGAAGGACCAGCCCTGCTGACCCTTTGATTCTCGGCTTCCAGCCTCCAGAACTGGGAGACAATAAATTTCAGTTATTGAAGCCACCCAGTCTGTGCTACTTTGTTACATCTGCCCCAGCAAACAGATACAGTGAGCTTTATAGTAATGACGATTTCATATGCTCCGTTATATTTTTGAACTTAAAAAATTGTTAGGATATTGATATGAAGTTACAGTCCAAAAAGGAAACAGTGAAATAAAAGTAAATGATTATTTAACTTACAGCCAAAAGTTCCCTATATTTTGGAGGAATTGTGACTTCTCTTTTACCCAATTCCTCTATGTAGGTGGAAGTCATTGGATCCTGGAACAAAAATCACACACACAGGGATATTATATAATTAATTGGCTGAGAATGTTTTATGCATATGCTGAAACCCAAGTACTATTTCATTATTAATCTATGGAACCATTAAAATGAAATCAATAGTTAATTAATGGAATCATTAAGAAGCCAATACTTTAGGACTATTCTGAAGCTCTAAGCTTACATAAATACTTACCCATATTTAATTGGCTTAATTCATATGTAGTGCTAGAAAATATTCAGAATACTAAAGTTGATTCCCATATTAGAAATGCATTTTGTTTTCAAATGTTTTCATTATCTAATGTTTCTGATATGTACAAAAGTACAGTAATAGCATAATAAATTTCTGTCTAACCCAACGCTCAACTCTATCAGACCTATAGTTATTTCTTATGTAATTTCTAAGAAAACAAAATGACAGTGTGGATGTCTCCCGTGTAGCCCTCTCCAATCCAATTCCTTTTCCTGTTACCCAGAAATGGCCACTATCCTGAACTTTATCATATCCATTTAAAGTTGAGCATATCTTAAAACAATTTTTATATAAATAGGTATCCATAAACAATGTACAGCATTACTTTGCATGTTTTCAAATGTTATATAAATGGTATGATATTCTATACATCATTCCATTCTTTTTATTAAAATTTATATTTTTTAATCTATCCATGTTGATACATAAATAATCCATTTTAACTACTTTATAAAACTCTGCATTACATTATCATTCCTCTGTTGAATAAAATTGTTTTCAAATATCTCACCAGTTCTTATAACTCCTTGTACACCTGGGCACGGCTCCCTCCTAGAGAGGGAGGACTTCCTGGTTGAAGGGGATGCTCATCTCTAACACACACCAGCTGTTGGTGAGCTGTCAGACTTTTACACTTTTGCCAATCTGATAAATGCAAAGTAGTGTTTCTCCATGTTTTAATATCTTTTTCCTAATTACTAGGGAGAGTTTCATTTTACTTATTTATTGGCCAATCAAGTTTTCTCCTTGTTTCCTGTTGGGTTGTACTTTTCGCATGGCTTTTCATTCTCTATAAATTCTAGAAACAAATCCTTGGTTACATATGTTGCAAACATTTTCATTTAGTCTAGGGCATGATTTTTTTTTTAAATAAATACCAAGGAAAACAAAATTTTCTTGCTTTTTAGGAATTAGAAATAGAGATGAACTGAGGGTGGCAAATATTGAGAAATCAAAATAAGCTCAAGTAATAGGATAGGAAATATCTGGAAATCAAAGTAAGTTCAAGTCCGTTGGACTTTAAATCTTGACGACAGAAAATAAGCCTCTGTGATCCAATTGGCTATATCCCAATGCCAACATTTGCACAATCCATTGATATTTTCTGAGTCAATGTAATAGAACAGGTACCACAGGACAAACCATTTCCATCCTCAACACTAAGTTTTAGTTGCCGTATCAATACTGACATCATCCTGGTTCTATCCGAGTGACAGAACACCAGGAATTCTCATACTTCATGACCATGGGCTTATTTGCCCTCCTACCTACTGAGTATGAATTTTTACAGATATCAAGATCACATACTGAAACTTCGGGTCCGGTATATGTTGTATTATCTTCTTTAGGTCCTTCAGGTTTTCCTAAAGTGTCTATTAAGTCATCCAAAGCAGTATCCATATCTGACTGGAAAAGAAAGAGCAGATATTTAAGTGTTACTTGTATATACATTTCACTTTTGATTTTTTAACTATGAAAAAATTCTTCTGCATAGGAAAATCACCAAACACCAAAAGTTCTTCAAATACCAAAATAGTTAAAAAGCTGGTCTGTAGCAGACCTTATTACTTAAGTCCCAAAGTACAGATTCTTTGTTGGAAAGATAAAAATCTACTTTCAGGGAGGAATCACAATTTCAACAAGTTTAAAGGCATTAACGACACGAGCAAATGTATGAATTCATTAAAGCTGCCAATCCAATGTACTGGCAGTTAAAAAAAAAAAAAAGAAAAAAAATCCCAAAATATGAATAATTATGACCATGTTGCCCTAAGCAACCGGAGATACGCTTGGTATTTACTGCTTGTAAGTAGTGTTCCAGAGTTTTATACAAAGAACTCCAACAAAATCTCTGTATAGCACCTTTTCCAAATAGAATCTATTTCAAAAATTTCTTTCATTCATTTGGTTCTTTCATTCACTTGTTGCCCAAAGATGTTTACAAAACAGAAATTACTTGAAACATTAAACTTATAAAAATTGACAGCTTATTTCATCAATAATGGGCTTAAGCCAATATGATAAATGAGAGAGGGCCTCCACCCTATTGCTGAGGTTAAGAATGATTCATTATGAACCCTGACCTGCATCTAAAGGGGAGAATAACAATCCAGAGAAAGGCCTCTTAGTATTTGACTCAGATTAAAAAGGATTACTTAAAAATGTCTTTTTTTTTTTTTCAACTACTACATTCCCACAATTTTAGGACTCACCTGATCATAGCTACGTGTAATAGGATTTAGAGTCTATTAGTTTAAACTGACTCTTTTTGAAATTTCAGGATAAAGAAGTATCTGATGCTACTGAGTGATACCTTTGGTTAAAGAAGGTGTGTATTTGCAGGAGAGAAACTGGCACATAAACTCCATGGGATGATACTGGAGTTTTCAAAACAGAGGGTTGTAATACAAAGTGTTAAAACATATGTGTGAAAGCCACACTTTCAACCCAAACATACCAGCTTGAATGAATAATTCATTAAAATGGTCCTTTAAGTTACCCCTTATATTATGTGCCCACAAAAAAGCAGATTATGATAAATATAGAAAACAGGGGGGAATAGTTTATGTAGAAGTACACCGATATCTTCCTACCTTTCCAGATGGTTTATCTGGTTTGGATTCAACTGGTGCAGCTGGAGTTAATGATTTCTTTTCTTTTTTCTGGTGGGAGTTGAGAAAGAAAGAAAAACTGCTTCTCACATACCTTTATAAAACTCATTATTTTATATATATATATATATTTTTTTTTTTTTTTTTTTTTTTTTTTTTTTTGAGACAGAGTCTCACTTTGTTGCCCAGGCTAGAGTGAGTGCTGCAGTGTTAGCCTAGCTCACAGCAACCTCAAACTCCTGGGCTCAAGCGATCCTCCTGCCTCAGCCTCCCAAGTAGCTGGGACTACAGGCATGCGCCACCATGCCTGGCTAATATTTTTTTCTTTATATATTAGTTGGCCAATTAATTTCTTTCTATTTATAGTAGAGACGGGGTCTCGCTCTTGCTCAGGCTGACCTCGAGCAATCCGCCTACCTAGGCCTCCCAGAGTGCTAGGATTACAGGCGTGAGCCACTGCGCTCGGCCTATTACTATATATTTTAAAATGAATTTATTATAATAGCACTGATCATATACTAAACATCTGCTCTGCACCAAACACTATGCTGTATGTTTTATATCCTTTTTCAGAACAACTTAAATAATATTCATCTTATTTATTGATGGGGAAAGCACAGCTCAGACAGATTAAGTAACTTTTCTCAGGTTGTCCAGTAGGGGGCAGATCCAAGATTTGAATCTAGGCCTGTCTGTCTCTTTCTTCGCTACTCTTCTGCAGGGCCCACAGCCAGTCTTTGCACCACCCATGAATTCTTTCTGAAGGCTGCCACTGCTACCTGTTGCTCTGGGTCTTTCCCCACATATCGAGACCTCCATTTCCTTCACTCTGACATCTCCTCACCCACTCTTCCCTTAATTTTCCTAAAATGAGTCACTCTCTCACCATGGCTTCAGTTGCTCTATCAACGATTGCCAGTAACTTCCCAACCTGCAATTTCCATTCCTTTATTCAGATATAATCTTCTCTGAAGCTTGACCCTGGGGAGGATCCCTCTTCCGACTCAACTCTCCCAGCTGCCAGCCCCCAGCACCAGCTGATCCTCCTCTGGTGTCTGCCCTTGGCTCCCTGTCACCTCTGGCTTCTCTTCTTTGTCCCCGGCTGCAGACGTTCTGCATGTTTCTGCTCTGTGTTGGTGGTTCTATCTAAAGTCGTATCTCTAGGCCAGATATCAAATGCTTTCAGGGATTGGCAGGAACTAAATGGGCACAGTTGTTGGGTTTAAATCAACAGGGGATCATATTCCATTTGAAGGTACCCAAATTCTGGCAGCAAAGCACAGGAAGAGCACGGGCCCTGACTGTCTGGGTCTGCACACCTGTCGAGACAGGCCTGGCTGCTTGAGACAATGGCAAGTCACTTCTTGGAGGTAATGACTGTACCTTACCCCAGGGGTTGTGAGGATTAGCTAAATCAATTCTATATAAAGTATGAAAACCAGAGTCTGGCACTTGCTAAGCACTATGTAAGTACTTACTATATAATTAAGTGCTAAATAAGTGATTGCTGCAACTGTGACACTAAAAATACTGTGGGAGCCACTAGGGTGTGACCCTGAGTGTGGGCAATGGAAAACACTTCTGAGATTCAGCCACCACCTTATGCAGACAGTCACTCATATTCTCTGCCCCACCTTCCTCCTCTCACGATGTCTCTCTTTCTCTGCTCTCTATCCCCTCACCCTTTCTTTCTCTCTCACTCCCTACCTCCTGTCCTCTCCCTCCTCCATTCTTTTGTACTCCAAAACAATATTTTAATTGCCTTGCTACATGGTTTCTTTGGACACTTGCATTGAACCAGTGTTAAAAATCAGACTTCACTTTTCCTCCCCAAACACTCCTTCTTCTGACTTCTGTCCACCTGTCGATGATACCCAGGGGACTGCAAGGTGCCCAGCTCACGAGGAGGCACTCACCCTCACGGGCTGACCCTGGCCTTGCCAGGACCTGATGGTGACTGCCTCCTTAGGTTTTGTGCCCCACGGGCCTGCCTGGCCTTACCTTGGGGTTACCAACCTAGTTTATTCAGACTCAGAAGCCCAAGTTATCTTGGATTTTTATTTTGCCTTTGTCCACTTCGGCCAATTATTTCCTAAAGCCAGAAGATTTCACCTCTGCAATGACTCTTGCATAACTCACCACTTTTTTATTCCATCATGGCTCTAATTGAGGCTAAACTGTAACTCCCCAGGACTACTGAAACTGTCAGTTCCTAAACAACCTTCCACCTTCCTATCTTTATTCTATTTCATTCTACCCACTGTGGTCCCATAATCCTTCTGCAGCTTGGTTTCAATCAAATCACTCCATCTGTTCTCTAATGCTCTCAATGTCTACCCATTGCCGGCTGAATCACTACACGTATAGACTCACCTTAGCATTCTCTGCAGCAGCACGTAACCTGTCTTTCTGGTCTTACAGCCCCACCACTCACCTCCTCTGTGCTTCACCTGCACTGGAATGCACTTTGTGCACAGAACACATCTTATGCTTTCCAACACCATGATGTGCCAGCTAGCCTGCAATCCCAGCTCTCCACCCATGCCCAACTCAAATCAGATCTACTCTCTCAAAGCCTTTGTAGATTCCCTGAAATCAGATAGAATACCTCCATTCTCACCAAACAGCTCCCTGTGGGGGCTTTTCCTAACCTGCCTTGAGTTACAGTCAGCTATGACTTCTCTCCACCCCTAGCTGGGCCATGCTGCAGCTAATGTGTCCTGCAGAGTTGACCACAGGGCTCTAAACATGCTGTATACTGAAATAAGAAGGCAGATCTGATCAATTCCATTTGATGGAGAAGAATCAGAAGCAAAGAAAAGTGAAATGACTTGCCACAAGTTCCAGCACAAGTCAACTCGCAACAGAATTCCAGGCACAAGCCTCTCCTAATTTTTTTAAGGGATAGGCAAGGGGTCTCCCTATGTTGTCCAGGCTGCACTTGAACTCCTGGGTTCAAGAGATCCTCAAGCCTCTCCTAATTTTATTGCTTAGCTTTTGCTGATAACACTGGCTCATTTATATTGACCACAAAATTTAAAATTGTGATTACATTTAAAAATCTAACACATCCATTTTATCTACAGTAAGTGCTCCGAATCAGCAAGAATGAGTAACATGTATTCTTGGGATGAGGGCTGGAGTCTCAGGATAGTATACAAGTGATCTCTTGCAAGAAAAAAAAAATTTTAAGTTGGGCGTTTTCATTTAAAATGAAAATTTTAAGTTTTTGTAAATTTTGCCTTTACTTTTGTAAACTTTGCCTTAGCTCTGCATTAGTTTGGATAAAAATAATGTGCCAAAATCTGAGGAAAAAATGTTTCAGGGAGATGTGTCATCTTTTACCCTATGACTTTCCTTACCATCTATCCTGTAGGGAGACTTTTCCCATTTTGAGAAGCAGAAATATATAGAGAGACATACTACTTTTTCCTATTTTCATTTCCATCTTCTCATTGGTGCTTCAATTGGTTACTCAAGTGCTCATGGAAATTTTATTTGCTTTATTTCATAGCTATAAATCTGGAAGGCAGAATCTGAGTCAAGTCACGTTTTAATTTCCTTGGTACTGATACTGGACTTTATATATGGCAGGTGCTCGGTAAGGATTTACTGGATATACGAATTTTAAAATCATTGTTGGTATCTTGTTCACTTTATTTTCCTTAAATGCACGTTCTTCACAAAAGTTCACATATAAGCAGTATTCAGTTTTACCAAATAATAGGTCATCCGAGCATACGTTTCTTATAAAAGAAATCTGGTAAGCACAGGGGCCCGTGGTTATGTCTTACGTGAGCTCACCTTTTCATCTGGTTTGCCAGATGTTGCAGCTATACCAGCAACAACTCTCTCTCCACCAGCAGAAATCGTGTCTTGTGGCTTAGTCTAAGAGTAAGGATAAAAGATTGACAGGACTAAGTCTCACTGAATGGCTCAAGATCATGAGTTTCAAACATCACTAATGTCTATAAGTTTCCGCTCATGAACATCATAGTACAGGAATGTTTACCAGCTTTTGCTGCACCCAGTGCAGAGCTGGGCACCAGGTAAACCTGGACTCAAGAGCCTATTGAGTCCACGCAGTTAACACAAATAGGTGAATCAGGCTTGTTAGGGACTGCAGCAAATGGTAGCACATGTGCCAGGTGAAATGGCTGTAGCTCATTGTTGCCATGTGAGCCCACTGTTGCTAGATATTCTGATTTGTCAAGAGAAGCTAGAAATTAGGACTTTATGTGAATACTCCGACTTTAATTGCTGGTAACTAATTGAAAATAATTGTTAGTAACACTGCCAAGTAAACAAAATACATAAGTAAGTAGCATTTTAATTGGTGGGACACAAATTTGGGGTCTCTGATATAAAAATATATTGTGAAGCAGATCTAGTTATTATCTTCCAAGCACTCTCAATGAAAAAGTTCTTCTCATAGATGTTAATTCTTCTAAAAGTTGGCTGTTATTAACTACATAATTATAAAATCAACTTCTGATTTTTGGCTTTACAAGTTCATCTCTTCTACAAGACTAAACAAATGCTTTTAGACTTCCATTTAAAGAAGCAGATAATGCAGGGCACCTAGCCAAGGTGTGATGAGGTCCAGCCTCAATCCAAAACTTCCTGTCTGGGAGACACCAGAGCCTGCTGCTCTGCAAGGCAGTGGAGAAAGGCTGGACAGGGCATCCCCCTAAACACACCTGATGCCCTTCTCAGACCCTCTATAAGCCCAACTTTCTACAAGGCTGTGTGCAAAACCAGTACCATGATAGCACCCAATCATTACAATATAAAATATATACAGTAAAGCTTCATATATTCAACTACACACCTCAATGTGAATACGTGAACTGTATCTCATTACCTAGCTGATATTACTGTTTTCTTACCAATCTGCTTTATTTACCTTTGGTTCTGTTGATTTCTCTGATGGCACCTGTTCACTTGATCTGGAAGTTGCTTTTTCTTTATGGGCATGTTTACTTCCTGTATCTGATGCATGCTTGGGTAGGCTTTTGGGCTGAAAACACACACATACATGCAAGCACATGCGATGACATTTTTAACAAGATGGCAATTTTGTTAACACCAATAAACATAACACTAATACCTTTCTCTACAGAATAAAAACTTATTCATAACAGGTGTGCTATTTGTGGTTTTGAAATATGTGAATTTGAATTAGTGTGATGTAAATGTGATAGAATTTCACTTTAGGTACAAAGGTACAAAATTGGAAGTAGCGCAAATCCTTCCCCCCAAATTCATCAAGAATCACGAGTCAATTGCAAACACTGCTGTTGCCACATGATGGCACCATTTTAGGTGACAAAACAAATATCCAGACATGCACTGTCACAGTTAGTCTCTAAAGATGAGAGATTTTATGTACACCTCACCAAAAAGATGTAACGTTATCATCATATCAAGTCCTAATGATAATCATTTACCTCTGTGTGTTCTTTTGGCTTTCCTTCTTGAGATTTTTTCTCATGAACCACAGATGGCTGTCAATTTCGAAAGATTAAAAGTCAATTTCATTGGAATCTACTATTTTCGTATTTCTAAACAGGCTGAAGAACAAAAGTTTCAATTAAAACATTCTGCCTTTCTCAGGAAAAGCCCACTGAGGCCCAGTTCTTTGGAGTCAGAGATGTAGACATGTGCTATCCAGTCAACAGTAACCCTGCCAACAGTCTCCGATAATGGTGATTATCAGAATAACAAAATATGTAATATTCATCTAAATGATATTTTCAAATACATGTGTATCTACAAATTATTGTTTTTCATAATTCAGACAGATAAATTGGTAACTGCAGATCTATCTACAGAGACAACATATGATCAATGGCACTACTGGGGTTGTTGCCAGGGGATCCAACTTGAGAAATTTTTTTTAAATCTCCTTTCATAGGAGATGAAGAATGCTGTACCTTCTTCAATACAATGATTTCAAAGTTTTTTTCTTTTGTTACCAGGAAAGAAGATGGTATCACCAGAAACCCAATTCTCTTGAGATCTGGCAGATAATCAATCAAAAGCATTTAAATGTGGAAGAGAAGACAATTTCCACCTGGCAGCTAAATTCTTCACTCTCCAGTATCCATGCTATTGACTACCATCTTGGGGGTGGGGGTGGGGGGCCAAAAGGCCCTACACAAAATCAGATAAGCCTCACCTTTCCACCCTGACCTGCACTTAATGTACTTGGCCCCAAAGAACCTCTGTGCTTTTCCACAGGAAACCTTGTGGTCTTATCTGAGTATTTGCTTAAGCTCTTGAAAGATCTGTGCTCCCATAGACACCTAGGGGTCTACCTCCATGCTGAAGCAGAATGTTCCATTCTGGACAGCCCTGAGTCAGGAAAGCAAGAGAAGCCAGTCTCCCGAGTAACTGATCACTAGCTCCACCAACTGAGATAAGACTGTCAAGATAAACTCAGGAGGTCTCTTAGGAAAGACTCTCATCCCTGAGTTATCTAGGTGTTGAGTTCAGTAGAAACACTATTCTTGATGTCTCATTGGAATTGTAACTGGATACTCACTACCCTTTGTCCTTTCTCCTTTGTTCCTCTTGCTTTATTTTTTTAAACAATTACTTTACCTATAACAAAAATCTAGATTTGAACAAAATGCCTTCTGAAATATATTGTTTTCATCTATAAAATATTATATATTCTTTTAAATATATGCATTTAATGTTATAAATACTTTATATATACTCTCTACTTACACAATCATATTCAAACATGCAATCTAAAAAGTAATTAGCTGACTAACTCCTTTACCATTCAGTAGCACCAATGCATAAAATTGGTTATTCATTATTATTAAAAAGAATCCAACTGACTCTCTAGCAGACTTAAATATTTACCTTAGTTGATTGTGACTTCTTCTCAGGTTCTGTTTTTACAGCCTGAATTCAGGGGGAGAAAGCCAAAGAAAGAAAAAAGAAAGGAAGAAAGAAGAAAAATGCACATAATTTTACATAGATATCATAGATTTTCTTCAACTAAAGAAACTAAAAGAGATGGTTTTGATTTAATTATAAACTTCGAGTTAAGTTTATTACACTTTGCTTGGGATCATAACTCTAGATAAACCCTTAAGCACAGTAATTAATATTCTGCTCTTAATATTCAGATAGCAATTTATATCTTTCTTCTTGCTATGTGTATCAAAGATATGTAAAAATTACTCTTTACATTGTAGCTAATATATAAGCAACATAAAATAACCCTCATCTTTCAAAGCCAAGGGTACTGTGTTTCAAAACCACTAAGGTGATCTTTTCATCAGTGCAACACTCACATGTTTTGGCTGACAGTGTGAAACAATGGGATGGTGACAGAATCAAGGCACAGAAAGCAGTGAAATATATTTTTAGTGCCAGAATGTGACTGATGGGTGGCTAAGCCTGCGGAGAGTCCATGATGGGATCAGTGTTACAGAAGATTGTGAACTATAGTTATTAGCACGTGCTGAGCAGCTGGTGACCATTAGTAAAACAGAGGCCCTAGTATGACGAACCATGAACCATATCACCTGTTTTTTGTGTCTTTTCTTGTTAGGAGGATGTGGTCCTTCCATCTGTTTGCTGATTGGAATGGCCTAATATAAGAGCACAGCCCCAAGCGTAATTTTATTTTATCTGACAGTCAAATAACATCTATAAACAAAGCTAAAATGACTATACCAAAATCCATTCTATTAATTTATTATATCTACCTGTTGCATATACATAAAACTCCAGGAAATTGTAGGCACCTACACTCTAAGGGCCCAGAAAATATTTCAGTTTGGGTTTACATTTTTTTCAGTAAAGATTTCTTTCTTTCTTTCTTTCTTTTTTTTTTGAGACAGAGTCTCGCTCTGTTGGCCAAGCTGGAGTGCCATGCCATCAGCCCAGCTCATAGCAACCTCAAACTCTTGGGCTCAAGCAATCCTTCTGCCTCAGCCTCCCAAATAGCTGGGACTACAGGCATGCACCACCATGCCTGGCTAATTTTTTTCTATATATTTTTAGTTGGCCAATTAATTTGTTTCTATTTATAGTTGAGATGGGCTCTCGCTCTTGCTCAGGCTGGTTTATGAACTCCTGACCTTGAGCAATCCGCCTGCCTCAGCCTCCCAGAGTACTAGGATTATAGGTGTGTGCCACTGTGCCCAGCCAAGATTTCCATTAATAAATTTAATTTGATTCCTTTCTTTTCCTTCTGTATAAAGGCTACATGTGTAATATTTTTCCCACCTATATTTCCAATGGTTGGTTATGATCAAATAGTTAGAGGTGTTATTGAAAGTTTTCTGAAATTCTGTCAACATGATCTTTAAAAAAAATTGTAAATATTTAGTGCAGAAATTTTTATTGGGCATGTCATAGCCCTTTATGTACAGATTTAATTTAAAGTTACAGGAATGCTTCTGAATAATTCATTGTAATTTAGAACCTTTAGTGTGATATTTTACAGAGTTCTACCCAAGTAAATGTTACCTGTGTAAAAAAAGATAATTCCTTAAATATACGCATGCATTCTTGATATAGGCAAGATATGAAATAAGAAATAAAATTTGATTAAACATTTTATGAACTTTTCAAAGTAAGCAATTACAAATTATAGGCCTAAATCTGTCATTTTTTCCTCTTTTATCTGCTTGGTGTTATCAGCACAAACTTCTTTTTATTTTATTGTCTGAAGAAGATAAAGTCAAACACCCTTTTAGTTTATCTTGTTCTATGCTTCAAAAAGGAAGATACATACTTTCTTCACATAATTGCCCCTCGTTATGCCAACACACTTACTGTTTTGGAAAGGAAACAAAGTTCATGATCAAAGAAATGTTTTTAAAGAAGTTTTAAATTTTGGATCCTTTCACACTACATCCTTGCTAATGAGTTTCCATTTATGGTACTATTCTTTTTGAGTTTATGCAAATGCAGTTTATTAAATGATTAACAAGGAAAAATAAGCCAGCTTTTATTGTAGTGGTTCAAATCTATTAATAGCTTCCAATTTGGCAATATAGATTTTGCATGAGAAAACTCTACACTACAATTAAGAAAGTATGCGCGCAGACACAAGCAGCTTAGAATGCAACATACATTTAAATCAGCAATTGCTAAATTTATTTTTGGTAGTGACGGCACTGAGCATTATAATGATAACCATAATAAGTAATGCATATCAGTCACCTCTTAGGTACCAGGGACTGTTCTAAGCTCTATGTGTGTCAATTCACTTAGTCCTCATAATAACCCTGTAAGACAAGTATTATTATATCCATTTCGCAGATGAGACATTGAGGTTTAAGCAGTTAACGTCCCAAAGATGCCCATGCTGGACCTGGGGTTCTGTGATCTCAGTCCCTGTGTGGCACTGTCTCTCCAGTATTGGCTGACAGCCAACTCCAACCAGGCACTTGCTATGGGACAAGGACTGCCCAATATATGTTTGTTTCCTTACACTGTCATGTGAGATAGGTACTATTATCACCTTCTTCCAGACTGGATAGATAAGGAAACCAAAGCAAAGAGGGGGCTGTCCAATATCACAGCCCACGTGGAACCAAGATTCTAAGCCAGGCTGCTGGTTCCTGTGTCCACACCACTGTCTCTAAGGGATTTTGTCCTGATTAGAAATGATTTGGCTTTCCATCTACACCCAGCAATGTGACTGCCAATTCTAACGTTCCAGGGGCAAGAGATACACAGATCCAGATATATAATCCCCCTTCAAAGCAGAACTTTTATTTTAAAGGTGTAGAACATGACAGGAGTTTGGTACAGGTATGATCTTAAATTAGAAACTTTTCTCTAAAAGCTCAAAGTATTTGGAGACATATGCTCGTTAAGCTCATGAACATCTCCAAGAGGAAGCTAGTATAAATGTTATGAGCAAACATCAGAAGCACATGAAGATAAGACAATTAATGAGAACAGTGTGATTAAAATCCATCAAGGAAAGAGACTTAAGGCCAAAAGTGATCCCTAGTCAGCCAATGTGGACATTTCATCCTGAGCATCTTATTTTTGTCTCTCTCCCTTCTCTCTCCCACTTTCCTCCCTTCCCCCAGTCCCACAGGACTGCCAGGAATTCTCATGATTAATGCTTAGTGCAAGTTGAAGAGTTTGCTGACACTTGCTCTAGAAAACAGGGCAAGCTTGAAATAAGCATGATCCTGGATCTGAGACACAGGGGGATTATAATCAGGCATCAGATTAAATGAGAAGCAAAAGAATAAAAAGGAAATCCTGTATTTCTGGCTCTCCTTTCTATCTCTTTTCTTTGGTTTTCATGGACCAATGAGAATTGTTTTTTGGTAGATGATTCTACCACAGTTTTAAAAATTATTTGGGGGTTTAAGATAAAATTTTCTAATTTTTTAAGATTAAGCTTGACAAAATTAAGTAGTGATAGCTAATAGATTAATTAGGGATTGTATAATATATATTTTGAAAATAAATCAATATACACATAAAATCTTAAATATGAAATATAATTTTACATTAAAAATAAACTTAAAGGTCGGAATGAATGCTAAATGACATTTACAAAAGCTTAGATGTGGATAGTGTGTTTCCAGATATTTGCAAGGTTCTTTGAAGACAGTTCAACACGAAGCCACAAGATCCCTTGATAGTACTAAATCATGGTGCCACAACACATGGGACAGGAAACTACTGGGATAGCAAAGTAACAGGGAAGACAGAAAGCAAAAGTATGTTGGTGATTTTAAACAAGGGCAATTTTGTAATAATGAAGTTGGGGTGGCTCTTAAAGGCACTAAAGAACATTGCCTCATAAGAATTATTTGAAAGCATTTTGAAAATGTTCCTTCTTTAATCCCCTGTCTGAAATTTCCCAAGAAACAAAGCTTGAGACACAATAACTAAAGGAGAGGGTTTGAGGCAGCTTTAATCAACTCTTCAGAACTAGGTTTACCCTATGTGACAAGCCCACTACAGGACATTCTTCCTTTCCTTTGGAAATTCCAAGAAATAAGTAAGTATAAGAATAAGTCCTAAATAGAGCTCAGCAAAGGTTTGTCAATAAAATGGCACCCTACATGACTTTAATTTCAGAAAATAGCTTCAGAAAGCATCTGAAATAACCAGTATCTGTTTCACTTGTTTTTACATTTATTTTTAAATGGCCAGAATAATAAAATTATTTTAGCAAGACATTAAGAATTTATATTCTCATTCAGATTCAGAGACAGACATGTATTTAAAGAGATTATCTACAATTAAAAAACCCAATCAAGTCTAAGATCAAAAAAAACCCTCTAGGTGACTACTCTTTTCTAGAAATTCTAAAACTATGTAGATGCTGTTTGAGGTAAATATCAGGAAGAAAGTTCAGTTTCCAAAGATCCTCATAAATTAGGAAGAAAATGTTTACTTTCATAACTTAAGTTTCCTAGGACACATAACTCATTTTTCAATACTTAGCCTACATTTGTTTTGCTTTACAATATAATCAACTGCAAGTAGCATTCATCCAAATTGACTCTTGAAGGTTCTCCATACCTTGGTTTCTGTGGGATTCATACTGGAAGACTTGCTGGTCACACCTGAAGAAGCTGACACCTAGAAAGGAAAGACATAGAAAGTCTGATTCTATTTAACCTACAATCTGCATTGTCCTTCAGTTCCTCTTAACCATATTGCCCTACACTTTCTGCATTGGTTTTATCTTTGTAACCAGATCAAATGGGTTCAAATGTTGGGTCTGCTATTTACTGAATAACCTTGGGAAAGATACTTAACATTTTATGATCTTCGAGTTTCCCATCCTCAATTTTTCTTTAGTAGATAACAACTACTTTGTAAGTTTATGTAAGGATTACTGCCTGCTACATAATAACTGCTTAGTAAATATTATTATAATCAGTTTGTTATTTTTATTTATTTATTTATTTATTTTTGAGACAGAGTCTTGCTTTGTTGCCCAGGCTAGAGTGAGTGCCGTGGCGTCAGCCTAGCTCACAGCAACCTCAAACTCCTGGGCTCAAGCAAACTTTCTGCCTCAGCCTCCCAAGTAGCTGGGACTACAGGCATGCGCCACCATGCCCAGCTAATTTTTTCTATATATATTAGTTGGCCAATTAATTTCTATTTATAGTAGAGATGGGGGTCTCACTCTTGCTCAGGCTGGTTTCAAACTCCTGACCTTGAGCAATCTGCCTGCCTGCCTGGGTACGAATTGTCCTTTCAGTGTCACGTAAGGAAGAGAAGGTGGGAGACAAGCTTGCAAAGGGAATTTTTGCTGCATTATCTGTCCCATCTAGGCTCCTCCTTGGAGGGCAAGATGTGATTAAAGGTAACTAAAGTATTCAAGAAACACCCTTCCTGGAGATAGAGGCCAGAGGGTGGTAGAATCAGCTCCTGCAATGCTAGATATGCATGTGGATACTTGCATGGTATTGAGTATTATTCTAGTACTTAACTTGTATTACACTAGGGACTATTAAATAGACAGTTATCATCTTTGCAAACTCTAACCCAGACTCATTAACATTTGAATCCATTACGTTCTAGGGCCCAGTGATTCCATCCGGTGATTCCATCCAGCATGAGTTGTCTTCCTTAGCAACTGCTGCTAGTAAACAGCTACTGTCCTGCCAATGATATCCTGAGAACCCTATAATGTAGTCTTTGCTCTGTCTCTAATACCTGGCCCCCAGCCCTTTCGGAGGCTGAGTCACAGGGCAGCATGAGCCCATCCTTGCTTCTCCCTTAGCTTCTCCTATTCCCAGCACACTGCCACTCAAGCCGATTGTTTGAAACCCACTGTAACCTCTGGCCCATGAACAAAAATCACCTTCCCTACAGACATAGTTACTGTAGAACAAACTGATCCTTGTAGTTAAATTACCAAAATTTACAGGTAAAAGTCCAAAGCTTCAGTGCACTGATTTTTCAAACATAATCCTATGAACTTGAACTTAACTAATTCCAGAGCAACCTCGGGCACCAACTGGGCACCCCCTTCCTGACACACACACACAACAAACCTCTGGTAACTGTAGCAGGGCACGGAACAGCCTCTCTCATATTCTCTTTGGATAAAAAACTGGAAGATGAACCAAGGTAGATTTTCCCCTATCAAATTAATGGGAAAATATATGAATATCCTATTTTATGAGAATATTTTAAATTTTTTATGGTGATTAAAGTACCCATATCCTTATAATTCTATCTTTCCACAATTAGAATTGGTCATACCAATTTCTATTCAAACTCAAGAAGTTCCACTTTGCTACATCCCATTCTGTCAATGATTCCCCTTAACCACATGAAACTACCATGGAAACCACGCTGCTACATAAAAGTGCTTGAGTTGAAAATCTTTAGGTAAACATTTATTTTTTAAACCTTCAAATTTATTCAAACATTCATAAAATTACATAGCCTTGAATTGTCCAACCTGTCTTACTACTTTGTTAAACAATACCATGAAGTGATCCTCAAGTTCTAGAAAGGAGAAGACTTTCAAAGGCCCACCAAGAATAGCAAAATCTTCACACGGGATAGCTCCAAGCAAGCATGCAGCAGGCTACAATGGGAATTCTCAGGAAGGCCATGGCCCCTCCTGTTTTCAGTACAGATTCTTCCACCAATGTTCTGTTCTCTAAGGTGCTAATCAGTTTGAAACGGAACTATGAAAGCTGCTTCGTGGGAGATGTAAATAAGGGAAGTAGGCCCATTATTAACCCAATTGAACTCTGGCTTATTGTAGCTTGTTCAACTTTTATTCTATCTGTAAAGACTAGCAACTTTTAAAATTTGTTACCTCTGGTGAAAGATTTTCATTTTAAATTCTCTCGTACTGTTTCATTTAAAAATGCTCTAAGGGAGGTATGAAGAGAGAGAGCCATGAGATAAAATAACTATTTGAGTTCTAAGTCACTTTCAGGCTCACCTCAAATAATCTTGCTGTATTGTCAAGCTGCGTTAAAATAAACCAATACTAATAAAAGAGATTAGTTGCAGGCCAGAAAAAAAATGAATATTTCATCTTGTACTTAACCAATATGATGTCTTATTTTCTGGAATTACTTAATAAAATCTCTTTAAATCTGTTTACTTGCTACAGTAAGAATTTTGGAAGTTCAACAGAGTAAATGATTAGAGATATGAGAGGAAGACAATATGGTTTTAAGACACTTGGGAAATGAAAACTGCTTTCTTTTTTTCACATATGCTTTGCAAACGTCTTGCAAACCCAAGCCTTTTACTCTCCTACACATACATTCTGGCCAGACTAATCTCCCGTTAAAGGAGAACCAGCAATGACTCCTGTTGTTCACTGTATCACACAGAAGACGCAGAAATCCTTTCTCTTGACTTTTAAAGTCCCCCTGTTTCCAATTCCACCTCACCTCCCATTGCAGAACCTCCACTCCAGGCAGCCAGTCTATTCCTGTTTTAAGCAGATGGCTCTCATCTCACCCTTTATATTCTTTCATGCAAGTACCACTGGTGGGTGTGCTTCTCTTCCAAAATATTCGAATCCTATGCCCCCTTCCAGGTGTATCTCACTGGCTCCCAGCCCTGGCATCCTAACTTGTGCACCACTGCCATCGGTCTTAGTGGTCGTCCCTTCCGCAACCCCAGTTCACTCCCCATAGCAACATGTACAGAGGTAATCACATAATTGCATCATGAGTGAATGGTCTCCTCCACTGGATGGGACCCTTTATAAAGAGCTGTCTGTTGGGTGCACTAATCTGCTGACCTCCCATTCCTATCACTACAGGTCTCACTCCAGGGCTTTTTCTTAATTCTGCAGGCTGTCTAGTGAGGCTGCTGAGGGAAGCAGCAAGACCCAGGACCAACCTTAACCATCTTGAAATGCTGGAGATGGGAGCGGAGAGGGTTGTGAGTCCTGCAGCTCCTGGTGAGTGGCCCAGAATGGGAGGGTAAAGGCTTCTGTAGAAGGCACAGGCTCCTAAATGTCTGCTCATCTATTCTGCTGCCACTCCCTCAGCACCTTACTTCTGTGTGCCACACAATAGAGTCCTTCTGCTTCTCCCTGGGCTCCCGGCAAGCTTTTAGCTGCCAGCCAGACACTTCTAGGTGGGTGGTGGGAATCCTCTTCACCTCCCTCTAGCCATGCAGTCTCACCTTGACCTCTCCCTGCACCCCTAGCTGGCTTGTTCAGAAAGTGCACACACAGGGTGGCATCAAAAGTCTTCCTCCTCATGCCACACCTTCCTCCCCTTCCCTCCCACAGCTGGCTGCATTCTCTGTCCTCCTACCTGCGACACGATTCACCAGCCACACACCTGGATCTGCCTTTGTTTGTTGAGGGTTACTAAGAACGTCAGGCTGCACGCATGTACTCTCCTTTCCACTTGGCGATCCACCAGCAGTTTCATTTTGAGTCACTGACCATGCTCCTCCTTGGCTGCCAGGGCACTGGGAGCCCTAGGCTCTCTCCCCAAACCTCTGACCTGTTTTCTTCTAGAAGCCTCTTCCCCTTGCTCCGTTCTTCTCTGTATTCATTAATATTCAATCATAAGTCCTCTACCTTTCATATTATCGCTCCCTCTAAATGTCAATTTCTTCCCATGACTTTAAGTATCTTTTATTATGTGAGCGATTCTTCAAACCTTATCAGCAACCTTGTTATCACCAGACTACATTTTTTTATCTTAAAGAGAGGAAGCTAAGAAAGACAGATGCAGACTCAAATCCCTGCTCCAGTACTTATTAGCCCAAGTTAATTAGCCTCTTGGAGGCTCCCTTCCCTCATCTATAAATTAGGGGTAATACCAGCTGGCTCTAGAGTTGGTGTGGGAAATCACCTGGGCTTGAATCACCTGGATTCAGGAGCGGTGTGGGTTCTCGTCCTCATCATCATTCTATCCTTTCATTTCTATTGCCACCCCCACTCCGGGTCTACTCACCTATTGCTCACACCTGGATTGCATCAAGGCCCTTCTAATAGTTTCAGTGTCTTGCTCTTTCCTCCCCCAGCCCCACCCTCATTTATCTTTCAACTTTCTGCCTAGGGCTCTCTGACTAATCTTTCTAAAATAAATGTGCACCATGTTTCCACACTGATGAACTAGCAGTGGTTTCCCACTGTGCCTGGACAAAGTCCAATGCCTTCTGCCTGATTTTTACGTTCCCCATGATGTGGCCTCATCTACTTATTCAATCCTCTCGCTATGGCCCCACGTCAAGTCTCCCCTGCAGCCAGGACCGCGTCCTTCCCATCATCTGAGCACCTCATCAGGCAGCGTAACACCCTGGGCAGGAGTGTGAGAGGGGACTCTGGAATCGAGACTGTCTGGCGGAATCCAAGCTGACACTTAAATGTATGTGCAACCTCGAGCTAGTTACTTACCCTCTCCAGTTTCCTCATAGGTAAAATGGGAATAGTAACAATTCTTACCTTGTTGAATTGTTCTGAGAATTGCTTTAAGCTTGTTTTAAGGATCAGTTGATGCATGTGAACCAATTATGACAGTGCTTGGAAGCTGATAAGCCTGGGCAAATGCTAATTATTGCTATCACCATCACACTCCCTTCCACCTCTGAGCCTTTCATCTTGCCATTCTCACTCCCCAGAAAGCCTC